TTCTTATTCTGCGTTCACGCATTGTGACTGTTTACAACATGGCTGCCATATTTGTACCTAAACATCTGACTTACGCAGGTATTTGTTGTCCAGGTTGGCCCTCCCAGTTAGTTTCATAGGAAATTTCAGTCTCATTGTTGTGACGCCATCTTTGCTTCCTAGTTCACAAGTGATGTCCCCCATAGGCCTAATTAGTGATTAGGTTATGATTTAAATGTAACAGTTGTCAGACCAACCAATGAACTATTTGGGGCTGAAAGAGTTAACAAGCATGTTGAAAACTTTAAGGTTTGCTGATCAGATTTGTTAGGGTCAAAAGGTGCAGATATCACAGCCTAGCTGTGAATTACAACGATTAATTAAGGGTATTTAACTGCCTTTATGAGGTAAAACGTAAAAGATTAGAGGAATTTAGACTCAAAAACTATAAAGCTTTTACAAGAGACACTCGCAAGATAACAGCAACTGGCGTATTTCCCATTTTCCTTTCAGCACGAAAAGGGAAATAGAAGGAGCATGGAACATCTATTTTAACCTTTACATCTAACCATTATTCCCAGAATGAAAAACAAACAACAAACAGGACAGTTGGAGAATAAGTAAATATAAAGAGTCGCACCATGGAAGAGATTAGAGTCTCACCATGTAATATTCCCATTGTAAGCAGTGAATTCTTAAAAGCTATATAAATCCTATCTTGATGTACGGAGGTGAATCAGGGACAGTTGCTATATTAGTGAAAATTATTTGGAAGCTGCAGCGATGTGGAATGATGAGAATACCCTGGAAAGATCAAAAGAGTAATGAGGATTTCTTGAAAGAAACTGACTCATAAAGAAAACTGATTGCCCACATCAAAAAGAGACAATCTACATTCTTTGGTCATGTGATGAGAAAGAGAAAACTGGAGTACATTGTGACAGCAGACAAATTGGAGGGGATGAGAGGCAGAGGGAGACAGAGAGAGAAAAAAAAAAACAGACAGTCTGACATCATGGCATGGAAAATCATGTGTGTCAGAGTTGACTGAAAGTACACGAGACAGAAGGTTGTGCATAGTCATGACTACCAACACCAAACCACATAGACTTTAAGAAGAAGAAGTGAATAGAGTGTAACCAGTCTCTATAATGGAGATGGTAAAATATTTTCAAGAGAGTGGAATCTATAAAGAACCTAGAGGCTTCCCTGTTGGCAATGCTACCAGCAAAGTTCTGCAAAGAACCTGTCACATGATGAAAAATGTTCACTGAACGGTTTGTTTTGTGTTGTTCTGATTACAATTTTTAAATATTCCATCATTAATCATGCATTTTATTAAAGTTATCAGTACACTTTTTTTTCAAAAATGACTTCAAACTTTCACTGTAAATAAAAACAAATGGAGGGAAATACTTTGTCTCAGAGATGAGATAATCTCTGATGGAAGTTATAATTAAATAGTACCAAAATGTATGCTTCAGAAAGAAAATATCAAGATCTTAAAATTAAAAATTTTTTTTTTTCAAGATTTATAAAATATTAAGTTTTCAATTTCACAGGGTTTCATAAATACAATATCTGCTTGACAAGATTAATAAATTATAAAAATCTTATAATTGCACAGGGTTTTATATTTTATGAGCACAAATAACTGCACCACAACAATTTATTTATCATACTGTTTTAAAAGCCACAAGGGTTTGCTAATCCCTTCAGCTTACTTCAGTGTATTTATCATCTTTGAGACAGCCAAACAGACACTATTTGAACTTCTTCTTCTAAATCTCTTCTTCTAAATGTTAATCAAATAATCAAAACTTACATATTTTTTTTTTACATGTCACATATTTATTAGCACGTTTCCATCTTTCCCTGTGATGTTACACTGTGTTAAAGAGAGACTTGGGAACGACAGTCGATGACAATGGTAAGCATGAATAGCAAGACCTACTTGTGTTTTAAAAAAAAATGATTTCCACAACAAGATATAGGATTTCAGGATCAGTGTTGCCATCACAGGAATTTAATATACTGCTTCTCAAATTCTTAGCTCTTAACCTATCTGCAATCATTTTCTTTCTCCATTACCCTATATATCATAAAGAAGTTAATGTTTATTGTAGATAATTTTCAGATTTAAATAATGCCCTTTGTTTATATATATATGTATATATATATATATATATATATATATATATATATATATATATATATATATATATATATATATACTTTAAATTTGACACTATTTAAGCCATTTAGGGCATTTTCAAATGAAACTGGATACTGTTCAAACCACCTATGATGTTTTGTTTAAATCAAACTGGATGATTTTTAAACTACCTAGGATGTTTTTAAAAAAGCTTAGAAAATTGTCCAGTTTGAATATAAAAACTCCTGGGTGGTTGGAAAAATCGTCCAGTATGGTTCGAATAGTGTCCAGTTTAAAGTAAAAATGGTGTTTGTGTGTATATATATATAAATGTGTGTGTGTGTGTGTGTGCATTTATATATGTCATATAAATAATCTCAATATTATTATTTTCTTTTATTCAAAAATCTTATTTATTTATTTTTCATACAAATAAAGATTATATTTATACTTCAATTTGTTACAAAATGTACAGGGTTACATGAAAAAATATTCAGAACAAATAATCGAGAATGTGATGACTAAGATGCTTAATCCTGTCATCCCAAGAAGACACAGTCTAGCCTGTTTCGGTAGTGACACAGTCACGTAAATGCACACATATCTGCATGTCTGTAGTGACTTGTTCTTGAAAAGCATAGTCAAATTCCATTGGTTTTTGGTGTACCTGCCTAGTGTTTAGTAGGCCTGTATATGAATATATCAACTAAATATAAGTGTTTAGGGGGATGTCTTTTTGATCCTAATGGCTTTTTTTAGAGCCAAGTTTACGTCAAATTTTCCCATAAGCCGTATAGACGTCATGAGGTCACAGTACAGGTCACCCGATACACATGCTTAAAGCACCAGGGAATGTACTCAATGTTTCTGCTTGTGTTTATTGTCCCTTTCCTATATCATATTATATTTTCTTTAAACTCACAAATGTAGATTATTACATTCGTTTATTAATCTATTAGTTTCCTATGTAAAAGGAATTTTCATTGGTTCTTGACCCATTTTTTAAAGCATTCAGAATTAATGGGCCGGTGGGGGGGGGGGGGGGGTGTGTTGATGTATGCTTTAGTTCTTCATCTAGGATTTTTGTTTGAGTGGAAGGTAATAAAAGTAAAGGACCCATTTTACTCCAGTGGGCACATACTGTCAGACCTACATTTTTAGACCAATCGGCGCACAGCGGGTCATGTTTTCAACATCCTGCTGGCTGCCTTTACATCCCAGAACATTACTCGATTCCCATTTTAGGCTGGGTCGACCTGGGAGCCAGGTCAATTTTGAAGACAAAATCTGAATCAATGTGGATTTACACCCTAGACTTTCAGAACAAAGGTGAGTGTCTAGCTGCTACACTGTGGCTTGCATTCTTGTGTTGCTTGCTGATAAATACTGAGGTCAAAATACTAGATTGTTTCTGTGTGATTTTTCCTTTTTTTTTCCTTCCCAGCTTGCGTTGCTTGCTGATAAATACTGAGGTCAAAATACTAGATTGTTTCTGTGTGATTTTTTTCGTATTTTTTCTTCCCAGCTTGCGTTTGCTTGCTGATAAATACTGAGGTCAAAATACTAGATTGTTTCTGTGTGATTTTTTCTTATTTTTCCTTCCCAGCTTGTGTTCAATGAATTTGTTTCTAAAAAAAAAAAATGTGTCTAGGACCATGTGCCAATGGCATAATGGGGGGGTCATTTTATTTCACACTACCAAATAATCTCAACATGTCATTCAAAAATCTACCAAATGTCCACATTTTCCCCATACTCCAAAGACTACCAGAAGAAAAAGTTCATTGTGCAGTTGTGTAACAAAGTTTCATGGAATATCTGAACACTGATTCAAATGCCAATGTTTCTGAGAGAAACCATGGTAATAACAAGAACAAGGAGAAAACTCCAGCATTGGAAACAACAGTTTACAACACAAACCAAAAGGGGAAATGATTCATATATTGGTTTTCAAGGCAGCTTGACCAGGAGGGTTATTTCAATATTTTTTGTAATCATTTGTTTAATTAACACAGACAGTGTGTACCTTTAGGCTTCATGAGAAGGAGAGGAACTCTATTTAGATCATATTTTTCCTAGAGAAATAACCTCTTTTAGAAAAATAACTTTGCAATTAGATATTTATTTTCACAGATACTTATTAGAAAAAGGTAGCTAATTTAATTAAGAATATATTATGTGTAATACATCAAGTTTTTTTTTTTATTTTTTTTATTAATATTTTACTTTAATCAGATGGTCTCAACAATGAAGGCTGGCTGAAATGGATCTTTAACACTCTGTCTCTTGTTTTGACTGTACTCTCTCTCACATGCTGTGCGTCAATCTCTTGGTGCGATCATCCTACTTTATCACTGTCTAGCTCTTGTCATTGACTTTTCCCTCCAACTTGGTTTACAAAAGTGTTGTCTTTTAATGTGTTAAATGACCTAATCTTCTGTATTTACTCAAAGAGGTCTCAAAAGACTGGAATTAGATTTAAGAGTTCTTAAAGAGAACTCTATTAGTTAGAATTAACCATTCTCAAAGAGTTAGGTAAAATATTCTCTTGCTGCCATTCCAAAACCTAATATATAACATTTCAGCTGGAAAGTTTACCATTAAACTGTAAGGTTTATCTACAAAAGGTTAAACAGTTAACAATAAGTACGGTCTAAAAGTATGTACAGCTGCTGCTAGACAAGATTATGATCACAAGTAATCAACTAGGTGCAGTGTGGCTAAACAATGTTGCAGTGTTTTTACTGTGTGACGTTTATCTATGTCAAGAGAAAGAAGAAAAGGGTGGGGAAGGGGAATAGAAAAATTGCAGCTTACTATTGATTATAAGGCTCTGAAACATGAACCACAGAGTAATATTGCTTCATCAGACTTGAGATAAGACTTCAGATGTGGAAACAATTTCTTCCACTGGTGGATTCTCCACGGCAACATCTTCCAGATACATGCTCCGTCGGTGTCTTTCCTGGAGAGCATGGAGAATAGAGAAACCCCGGTGGCTAGCTTCAATTATGCAAGCATCAGCTTCCTCATCCAGTAAGTCATCGTGTTTTGATTTGGAAGGGCTGGAGACTTTTGAGGATGCTGCAGAGCTGGAAGACTTTGGGGATCTGGGGCTGGCACATTTGGAAGGAGTCTGGTTATCATTCTGGCCCAGAATGCCCAGGCCATCGTCAGGGGTTGCTAACTCTGAGGCAACATGACTAACATCATGGGTTGGTAGCCCAGAATCTTCAGAGTTATCCTCGGCACTGTAAGTGGATTTACTTCTGGGAACATCTCCAGAAGTTGGTCTCGGTCCGTGGTCTTGACTTCCGTTGACCTGAATGACTGAATTGCTCATGGATGCAATCTTGCTGGTCATGTAGTTAATCCTCTGTGCTAATGAGTCCATGAAAGCATTTGTTTTATCATCCTGAGATGGAAACATTTTTCTCCTTTCTTCCTCCTCTCCATTTCTGTTAACTCCATCTTTATCTGGGCTGGGGGAGCCCTGTTTGGAGTAACTTTTCCATGGGAAGACTGAATTTAGATTTTTGGTAGCAACTTCGTTCACACTACGTTTTGTATATCGAATCTTCGGGTCGGATCTTGAGGAGATGCCTAGGGCTGGAATTGTCGGCATCGGGGCTGAAAGGATATCTCTGTTCTTGGCATGGCTGGACAAACTCTGTGGGCAGACAAAACAGCACAATTAACTACACAGCTACATACCCTGTTTCCCCATGTGGGTTTCAGGGCTTCATTCTTGAGAAGAAATACAAAAAAGAACCAACCCACTGCCTGTTAATAAACATGTCATAAATGGCAACTAATTAATCTATGTGAGGCATGGACTGTAATTATTTTCTATTCCCAAAATTAAAGTTACAACTGAAAGGACGCTTCTTTAACAATATCTTTATATGCAGCCAGCTGTCTAACTTAGGGTGAGAGGAAACATAAATCTAATAATATAAATACTAGAAGAAATTTCTCATTTTTTTCAAAAGTCTTCACGGTCCTATTAAGGTGGTGAGATTATTTCTAAGGAGGTATCAGGTGTGTAGTGTGTTTGTTTTGGGTGTGTTTGTATATAAACATACACACAATGTGATGTGCATCCGCACATACACATCAAGCAGAATTATCAGTACCATCAACACACAAGGAAACAGAGACATAATCACAGCCACTGCATTAGACTAGAGGTTACTTGAAGACTGTAGCGGTCTGCAAGTATCATCATTATCATCAGGTGCCTTGCCGACTGGCGTGGGCAATCATGCCTCTCCATAATCTGCGATCTCCTGCAGCATGTATTTTCTCTCGTTGTCTTCCTCTATCTCTCTTTCCACATATCTTTCCAGTGATCACAACATGTTCTATTTTCCCTCTTCTCATAACATGGCCGAAAAATGATGACTGTCTCCTTGTGATGTCTGTGATAGGTTGTCTTCGGGCTCCCGCCTCTTTCAAACCCTCTTGGTTGCTCTTTTTAGCTGTCCAAGGTATTCTAAGCATTCTTCTGTAAAACCACATCTCCGAGACCTCCAGAAATTGTTTGGCCTGCTTACCGATTGTCCAGGATTCACAGCCATATGTTAAAACTGGATGTATGTAGCAAGCAAGAATTCTTTTTCTAACTCTCAATGACAAGGATATATTGTACAAGATGTTTTTCATTTTATAAAATGCAGTTTTTGCTTGTCCTATTCTATTTCTTATCTCAGTTATGCATCTTCCATCTGATGTTATCTGATACTTAAATTTTTGTACTTGTCCTAAAATAACACCATCAACTTTTATTACACACTTAGGAATAATTTGTTTCTTTGATACCACTATTAGTTGTGTCTTCCCATTATTCAAACTGAGGCCCATTCTTCCACTTTCTAACACCACAATGTCTATCATTTCCTGTAGTTCTTTCTGACTTGCTGCTATCAAGACTGTGTTATCAGAATAACTTAAATTGTTTATATTGTGCCCACCAACCACAATTCCGGGCATACCAATTAAAGCTCTCATTATATATTCACTGTATATTGAAAACAAATCAGGTGACAGTACACATCCTTGTCGTACGCCCCTCTTTATGCTTTGAAATGTACCTAAACAGTTGTTAATTCTTATAGCTGCTGTTTGCTGCCAATACGTATTCTTTATTATTCGTAGATCTTTCCCATCAATGTTTAATTTTTCTAACAGTTTGATTACTTCTTCATGCTTCACACAGTCAAATGCTTTTGTATAGTCTATGAAGCATATGTACAAATCAGTCTTTACTTCTATAGCTCTTTCTGACAATGTCCTTAAGATGTATATGGCATTTTTTGTACCTTTTCCTTCTACAAATCCACATGTTCATCGCTGATTTCTGGTTTAATTTTGTTTCTCATTCTTCTCATAATTATTCTAAGTAAATTCTTAGTCATGTGACTCATAGAACTTATTGTGCGATGGTCTTCACATTTTATAGTGCCTGGTTTCTTAGGCAGAGCTATAAATATGAATTTTAAAAGGTCATTTGGAATATACCCACTATTATAAATATCATTTAAAAGTTTAGTTATTATTTCAATTCCAAAATCTCCCAGTGCTTCCATTTCTTCCAGTGAGATGTTGTCTGGCCCGGGTGCTTTTCCTTTCTTCATATGATGTATTGCATCCTCAACTTCTGCAGTCATTGTTGGTGGACCATCATTGTTGGTCTGCAGTTCTACATCTGGTCTATTATCATCATACAATTCCCCTATTTACTCTGACAATCTGTTAATTATATTACTATGTCCCATTAATAAGTCACCATCTTTTGATTTCAAACATCCAGTGCTGTTACGTGTCATCTTTCCTGTTAACATATTTATCTTTTGGTACATGGAATTGCATTTGTTCACTATTTCTTTTTGTATTCTAGAGTATTCTTCTTTATCATTCTTTTTCTTCCTTCTTTCATCCATCAACTGTAGAATTTCGGTTGACATCCATTTCTTTTTTGCAACTCTATGGGTTGGTGGGATTGTCTCTTTAGATGTCTGCTGAATTGACTCACGCAACATATCCCACTGTTCATCAATAGTCTGTATAATTTCCATTGCATTATACCGGTTTTGTACAGTGACATTGTACTGGTCCTTAATTTCTTTATCCGTTCTAAGAATTCCTAAATTTAACTTGATGTTCTGTGGTGTTTTTCTAATGTTCTTTAGTTTTATTCTAATTTTTCCTACAACTGGAACATGGTCACTAAAGCAGTCTGCTCCTGGTCTAGTTTTTGCTCCAACTAAGCTGCTCCGGAATCTTCTTGAAATCAAAATATAATCAATCTGATTGCGGACATTATCACTGGGACTTTTCCAAGTCCATAATCTTCGAGGATGGTGTTTAAACCTATTATCATGCTGCGTGACTCAGCCCATGCTATTAGTCTGTCACCTCTCACATTCTTTTCTCCTAGGCCATAGCCACCCGTTATTCCGAACACTTTTTCACTTCCTATTTTCGCGTTAAAATCTCCAAGTACCATTGTTACTTCACAATTTTTGCATTGATCAACAGCCATGTCTAACTCATCATAAAATGTGTCAATATCTTCCTCTGAACTATCTGCTGTTGGGGCATAAATCTGTATTAAGTTGATGTCAAACGGTCTGCCAAGAAGTTTTACTAATAGTACTCTATCTGATATTGTCCAAAATCCTTTCACAGTTTTTGAGTTATTTTGATCCAAAATAATACCAACTCCTTTACTATATTCCTTCCCGACCGAGTAAATAATTCTGTACTGATCTGAATACTTTTCACCTGCTCCTGGCCATCGCATTTCACTAATTCCTAATATGTTGATGTTCATTCTTTTCATTTCCATCTTGATGTTATCTAACTTTCCATTTTGTACGAGTGTTCTGCCATTCCATGTACCAATGTTCATGATGTTTCTACCATTTACTTTTTCTACAGTAGCTGGATGACAGTCGGGTATCACCCGTAGAACATGATGCTCCCTACCGGACGAGGTGATTCCACTGGAATCCCCATTCACGTCGTTATCTGAACATGATTTTCTTGGGATAGTACAGCGGTGGTTTCCCCTTGCCTTCCGCCAGTTTGTATATGGTTTGACTCCAATAGCCTTTGTCTAAAGAGACTTACCCTGCAAGGCAGCAGGGGGAGAGGTTATGGCGCCTCATACCCGCCGATGGCCATTTCGTAGAGTTTTGAGGTATTTTATAGAGTTAGCTGTCCCACCAACTAACTCGCCTCCTCTCAATGACCATCACCTGTTTTGGTCCATGGCCACTTATTCAATATATTCGTGGCTAACCTCTATAGCTACAGGCCTTTCCACCATCCACCACCTGGTGGCTGTGCCTAGTAGTAGGACAGGCTCCTACCCCAGGCTGCAAGTATAACTGTGTTATTTGGATATACAGGTTTTTTTCTGGGAGGGAGTTGCTCTTGTTGGATTTCCATCCATGAGGTGTTAACTAATCATATGGGCAGCAACCATGGAGGGGTAAAATGACCAGCCACCTACTAAAAAAAATGGAAGATGGACAGACAGATGTACAACAACCTTTATTTTTACAGGGTTTGGTTCATAATTTGGTATACAAGGTCCAACAATTAAGTAGTGAGACTGATTTTATTATGGCCAAGACAAAAATGCCATCTTTGAAGCAAAGCATGGAATCTAAAGCCACAACATTCATTTATGATCTGGCAACTTTTCATAGCCGCTCGACAAGCAGACAACAAAAAAGCCGCCCTTTTGTTAGCCTAGTCAAAGGTGCATTGTTACAAAATTAGCATGGAGCTAAAAGCTAACATTATATTTTTTTTTAAACTTAGAAAAACAGCGATTGAAAAAATTGAATTAATGCAACAAGTTTATGGGGATAATTGTTTATCTCGTGCATAAATTTTCAGGTGAAATTCCTGATTCAAAAGTGGTGTGGAAATGATTACTAATGCACCTAGACCTGGGCGCCAAATTTATGTTCGTAATGATGAATTCACTGCAAAAGTCAGAGAACGGATGCAAGAAGATAATTGTTTTACTGTGAAGATGATGGTAGATGAATCTAGCATTAATAGAGAGACCATTCATAAGATTTTAGTGCAAGATTTTTGCAAGAAGAAAGTTGCTTGCTGGTTTGTACCACGTTTGTTGTCTGATGACCAAAAACATCAGCGGGTCAAGTATCCAAGAGACATCATTAAAACAAGAATTTTTGGCCCAAAAACAAGTGTGTGTTCTCAGATTTACACCCTATGCACCAGATTTGTCTCCTGGTAATTAAATTAAAGTTACAACTGAAAGGACGCTTCTTTAACGATATTGGTGACATCCAAAGGGCCGTAACATCGACTTCAAGGGATATAACAATAGAAGAACTACAGAGCTCGTTCCAGAGTTTGTTAGATCGTGCCACTTGCTGTATCAGTTCACAAGGAGCTCACTTTGAAAAAAATACAGGTTATATCTTTAACTGTTGATTATTTTAATTTTTATGGAATTAGTCTCATTACTTAATTGTCGGACCTTGTACATTTAACTCTGAATATTTTACCTTTCGCTAAAGAAACCCCAAGGGAGTTATGGCAGGGCAGGGATCAAATGTGCTCAGCTGCCAGCCTGGTGTTTAAAGGTAAACCCCTATTTCCAGTGTGGGTTCCTGGGCCCCCTTATGATCGACTGCCCTCTGACATCCTCTGTAATTATTTCTGCCGTACATTTGGCATGTCAAGAAAACGAATAATCAGCACTGCTACCTTCATAGTTAGAGTGCATCTGCATGAGAGGTGAGGAACCAATAGTCTGTATACAATAAGCCAGATCTGTAAAACAAATGTGCAGGCAAAACTCAAGTTCTGGAACAGGACAGAAGTGAATGAACAAACAAGACTTTCTACTGAAGGTTACAGCCAGGGAACGAGGAGAAGAAAGAAAGAGAAGATAAGAACCCTGTTGAGACAAGATTTCTAAAGCTGACCTGGGTGCCAAAGTCAACTGAGCCTAAAAAAAGGCACCAGAAAAATGTTGTCAGCAAGATAGTGACATCATCATCCAAGGAGTGCCGACTATCCCATAAAATATGGCTAGTATTATGTCTTCAATTTGCTTAAAAGTTCTTCAGTCTTCTTCTTCTTCTGCATTCATCCTTAGAAAAATAGCTTACGTGTTTTGCTTTAAAGCTAAGGTATATGTGCCTTTCAGCCAAAGTCATCTGATTTCAGAAAACTTCCTATTAGGTGCCTTTTCCAACCTGACTATTAAGGAGCAGTGAGTCTGTTTTTCCCAAAATATAGCAATGGAACCTACAGGGAACTTAACTCTTGTAGTACCAGAAAGCTGTCTCATTCAAATGCCTACCTGAGAAATTAACCACTGTGAAAAATCATGAACTCATCACTCTAAAAGCAGCCAAATGTACAGTAGAAATAATTACAGAAGGAGTCAGATTTCAGTAAAATGATCAGATGAAATGTAAAATATTAAAAAGCACATTTCACAAGGGTGGAGTTTCAAAAGAAAGCAAAAATCATATATCACAATGAACTTCTTTTTTGCAGACAAACAATTCTAATACACTATCAAGAACAGAATTTAGAACACCATACTGACTGCTTACATCAAACCTGCACACAGTATGATATGAGAATAAACACCATGAAAACTGAGGTAATGAAGATAGGCATGAAATATAATACCATGAACATCCATGTTAACATTACCACAGTCAAACAAGTACAAGAATTCAAATATCTAGGAAGCATACTTACGGAGGATGGCAGACTCGACAGAGAGATAGAAGTCAGAGTACAGAAAGCAAATGCTGTCACCTACCAGTTGCCCACTGCTTAGACACCCCAAATGTCTCCCTTCCAGCAAAAAAAAAGCAAAAGATTAATAGTATCTTTATCCCTACTTTATGTTATCAGTGTCAAATATGGACAATGAATAGGGCACTAAAACAAAAAATAACTGCATGTGAAATGCGCAGTCTTCGTAAAGATCACTAACAACACTAGATGAGACAGGGGTATGAATACCAGCATTCGAGATAAAGTTGGAATAAGACCATGTTTGGATTATATTGACAGGCAAAGAATGAAATAATTCAGCCATCTAGTGAGAATGCAGCCAGATAAGACCATGTTTGGATTATATTGACAGACAAAGAATGAAATGATTCAGCCATCTAGTGAAAATGCAGCTAGATAGGACCATGTTTGGATTATATTGACAGACAAAGAATGAAATGATTCAGCCATCTAGTTAGAATGCAGCCTGACTTTTTTACAGTAAAACATCTGGGAGAAAGGCGAGAGGAAGACAACAACAGATGTGGATAAATGGCTTAGGTCAGCAGTTCTCAACCTATGGCATATGTCTCAACCTGAAAGGCACATATGCCTATGGGTCACGACCCTTTTTGGGTCGAACGACCCTTTCACAGGGTCGCCTAGGAAAAACACATAGGAAAACACATATTCACTGAAGTTATGAAGGAGCAACCAAAAAAAATTGTATGTTTGGGGGTCGCCACCGCATGAAGAACTGTATTAAATGGTCGCCTCATTAGGAAGGTTGAGAACCACTGGTTTAGGTGAATCTTACAAAAAGATGAACAAATCCATCACAGAAAACCACGACACTGGGGTACAACCTGGTATCAGTGAGATGCCAAAGAAAGAAGAAGCAGATATGCCACACACGTCTTGTTAGTGAAATAATTAAATGCGATACATTCAACAAAACCATGAAGAAAATTGATATCACAGTACCTCCAGAGCCCTTGCGGTGTCCAAAGAAGCCTGAGCATTGAATGAGTGAGCGGACGACAGTGAGACATTTTCTACCTTCTCCATTTCACTCCAATTTTTAACAGCACTCTCAAGCATTTCCTTTAAATCCTCATTCTTGGCTCTGTCTGAAGCCATTTCCCCTCTCTGTAAACAAGACAACAAATGATCAAATATAATCACTCATTTTCATAATGTGGACACAAACAATTCATTGTACAGTTTGCCTGGAATATTTTGCTGTATCTTGTCAGGTGCGTTACTTCAGTGTAACATCAAATCAACACACAATAAAGCAAACAAAACTGAATCTTTTTTTTTTCCACTGAAATACACATACATCACCGTCAGCTTTACTGCACACCACTCCACTGAAATTCAAGATTAGCCTTACCATGATAATTTTAAATTTACCACATGCTCTTTTTGTTTGCACAAAGAATAAGTGTCACTTATATTCTTATGGCTACTGCTAGTTTCAATAAATGCCTACACAGCTTATTGTAAATAACTCCGAAGGCACACCTCTTACCAACTACGTGCCCACAGTGAAGCAGATGATATCTTATGAAAGAATCAGGTTCTCTCCTCTTTGCGGATCTTAACATAGAATCTCCACCCAAATGTCTGTGCAGCCATTTTTGGATTATGTTCTGCTGCTCTGTTTCCAAGCTGTCTCCCCATTCGACCAATTCAGTTAACAAGCGCTTATGTGTAAACTGATAAATGCAGCTGGATCTGGTGTATGAAGACACTGGTTCTTGAACATAAAGGGATGGGATAGGGTGGTCTGGCATGTAACACTGGGACAGAGGTAAAGAATGTTTGACCAAGAGTTGTTCTGAGCTGGTCCTGCAGAGAATGCATGGTGCTGTAGCCTAGAAAAGTTCATTGAACAAATATATTTTTAATGTTATACGCCACCACCGCTAGGACCATATAACTTCTTCTTCTTCTTGTTCACCGGCTGTGAATTCCGGCGGTAAGTCACGGTTGTTCGTCAAAAATGGACTTTTGGCTTTTACCTTGACCTGAGTTTTGCGTGTACATCCGTTTTACTTGCTTATTTGTTTGCAGTACTCGTAACTTGAAGGAGTTTTACTCACCATTCCGGTTCTAGTAGGGTCAGCTCCAGCATCAAGCAGCAGGTAGACCATCTCAGCATTGCCACAGTCTGCTGCCCAGTGCAGGGCTGTCCATTTGGTCTGAAAATTGCACAAAACACAAACACACATAAATGCAAGCCAAATCACATAACAATCTATTCTGAATGTTAAGGGTCAGTCTTGGGTCATACGGTTGATTACATTTTAACATATATTTTTTTTCAAATATATCATAGATGCTCTAAACTTGTCTCTGACCCCTGTGGGTCAACGAACCAACAAACAGGAAAGACTGCCCTAAACCACTTGATGTTTCAATATAACTTCTTCTTTTTTCTTTGCGCTCACCAGCTCTAAACTCTGGTGGAAAGGTCTGGTTAATCGCCCACTTCTGGACAGCAGACCTGTTCCAGAACCTAAGTGTTGCGTGTGCATCTGTTTGACAGATCTGACACATTTGTGTGCAGACTGTTGGTTCCTTGACTCTCAGGCGGCTGCACTTCGACTTCGAAGGAAGCTCCCAGTTAGTCGACTCTTACGACATGCTTTTGGGTAGGCTGTGGATCTATTCTTGTTTTCCCTATAATAGGGCCCAGGAACCTACACCTTGGGTTCAATATAACAAAAGTGTTTCAGTCTCTGAGACATGATAGTAACGAGTTTACTTTGAGCTCACAGCCTACAGAATGTGAACAATAATATATTTTAAAACATTACTCACGTAACAACTAGCACAGTCCAGGTCACAGCTGCCCTCAATAAATGCTGTGGCAACATCCACATGATTGTGATACGCCGCAAACATCAGGCCTGTGAAGTTTGCCTGTAACAGAAGTATAAGCAAATTCAGTATTTCCAATCTACTTGCCTTTAAAATACTTCAGCAAATTCATCTCACTTGCCATTAAAAATAGTTCAATATTTCCACTTTACTTGTATTCAAAGTAGTTCAGTATTTCCATTTTACTAATATTTAAAATATCTTTGAATGTCCATTGTACTTGTATTTAAAATAGTTCAGTGTTTACTTTTTAACTTGTATTTAAAATAATTCAGTATTTCCATTTTAATTGTCATTTTTAAAAATGTAGCAACGCAAAGTCCCATCCTATGACTGTCAAACAGTTTGACTGTGGGACCATCTGATCCTCTTATTTTTGTATGTATATATTCCATATCTATCAACTGTAAATAGGTTGTTGCGTATCCTTTATAGGTCATTGCAGAACCAACCCCAACAACCCCTGGCTGTTGTGTGGTTTTTCTAGGCAAATTTATGTCCAGTTGTTTTATAATTGCTTTCTGGACAGTTGGCTTTCTTGATATCGCTGTCGAAACCAATGCAAGGCGCATGGCCCGCAGCTGGGATCGAACCCGACATTGCTGAAGCGTTCACATCGACAGCCACAGAGCTATTTTATTTGTATTTAAAACAGTTCAACAATTCCATTTTAACTGCCATTTTAAAAATGTAGCCATGCATTGTAGAAAAGTCTCAACCTATGATTGTCAAACAGTTTGACTGTTGTTAAACTATGTGCTCACACTTCACAATAAACCAACGGAACCATATGATCCCTGAATATTTGTATGTATATATTCCATGTCTATGCAGTTGTAAATGACTATCTTCCATGCTCGACTGTCATTCCAATTCATCTTTCTTAATGTGAACAATAGATAATCCATCAATAGTTCATTCACTGTCCATCAAATGACTGGATATGTGTATGTCCACCAAATATGTACAGTTATGTCAGTGTGTATCCAAAAACTATGACAATTCGAGTGCACCCGTTTGGGGGATATTTTAAATCTCCAGTTTACAGAGCATTTACAGTTTGCATGGGGTGCTGCGTGGTCTCGAGGCATGGTGTCCGCTTCATGTGCTAGCAGTTCTGGGTTCAATCTCCGGTAAGGGCTGGGATTTGTTCACATGGACTTGGACTTCTAGTAATTCCCCCTAGTCTCCAGGTAGTGAGATTTGACGTTCGTGTGCATTGTTGCGCACGTAAAAAAAATCCTTTGGCAGTTGAAAATCGAAATGAGTAGCCGGAACGGAGCTGCCCGGACAAAATTTTGGAGTTAAAAATCTACCCAAAGTATTTCAGGATCCTCGCCTGTGCACTGTGCTGAGCTTCTTCGGACTTGAGTTAGAAGAAGAACGGAGCACTTATGGGTAACTACCCGTGTGCCATGATATTGATCCGCTGTTCAAACCTCAAAACCTTACAGTTTACATGGCAATTACGGGGTAATTTACAGAGCAGTTTACAGGACATTTACAGTTTATAGGCAACTGCAGGACATTGTTAATTTCTTATCATGGCATTCATACTTCAAGGTTTTCAATCCTGTCCTTTCCTTTCCTGGATTTTTTACAACCTGTGAGTTGTAAGCTGACATTCTGAGTTTCATTTGAAGTCTGAGTGCATCTGCCCAAGTGGCAAGGAACCAACATCCCTGACATAAATAAGAGGATCTATCAAAATGGATGTGCATGCAAAACTCAAGTCCTGGAATAAGGCCAAAGTCCAGAAGGGAAGAACAACTAGGACTTTGCACCAGGGTTTACTGGTTGTGAATGCAAAGACGAAGATGTTCACAACATCCCAAAGAAGACATGCAACCAGCTTTTAATGCTCTATCATTTATGAAAGTCATTTAATCCAACCTTTCACCTGAAGTTATATTGTCAGTGTACGTGCGTGCGCACACACACATGCACATACACAAATTAATATACCTCTCCCAAATCGGCACACTTCAAGTTAACGTCGCACCCAGCGTTGATCAACTTTCTGGCGATCTCTCCGAGTATCTTCTCGTCTTCATAATTTTTAGATCTGGCAGTCTCGATCAAAGCCGACCTTCCATCCTAAAAATGAATTCACAATGAGAGGACAAGGAAAATGTGAAATAAACTAAACACGGTACTGCTATTACAAAGGATGTCATTACTACCATAGTCATCATGTGCCGTGCCGGTAAGCGTAGGTCAGGGATATTCAGAATTTTACACGAGGGGCCAAAATTCAGAAAATGGGGATCATCACGGGCAGGAAGCCAGAGCCCAAGTATAGAAAGCTTATTATTACAAAACACTGATCTGCAGGCCACTTGTTAGGCCTTCCTGAGCCAGATCTGGCAAACAGGCCGCCAGTTGAATAACCCTGGCGTAGGCTGTCATGTTTCACATCAATGATCTCGTCTTCACCCCATCCATATGACCAAGCCCTCCAGGTAGTTACCCCTTTGCCTTCTTCTTGCTCTCTTTCCATCAATCTGGACAGTTATTACCAAATGTTCAATCTATTCCTTCTCATAGCAAGTTCACATACAAAAACATCCACTGTCTACTTCTAAGATATTACCAGGCATAGTTAAGTCAAGAGGGACAACAACACTGCACGAGGTTTTATCCAACATAGCTCCTGCTAGCCATCTGTCAAGAGCATCACATAACGAACAAACTCTGCGGCTCAAACACCGACCCCCCTAGATATCTGTAAAAACTGCAGCTATTAACTGAATGATGCATCTCATAAACAAATTCACGACCTTCAGGGTGCGAGGCAAATGGTTTGACCACTCCATCACAGAGACACCCAAACAGAATAAGTAAAAACTGTGTTTCCATGAAAATTAGACCTTCTAAAAAAAAAGAAGCCCTAGCACAATTTTTCAGGGTGCTTTAAAGCCCTATTCTAAGATTAGTCTTATTAAAATCAAAATTTTTAATAGTTCTACAGGAAATAAGTCACAAGATATTCAGGCCAGAATTTGTTATTTGGAATGTTATTGACAATGTTCCAAAAGAACATGACATGACTGTGTTTGAATAAATGTAGAATTCTGTACATTAATAAATGTAGATTTTTGTATCTGAAAAGAAAACAGGACATCCCCAAACATAAGCAACACAAGGGCACTGTTTTAAGCAAAAATTATTATACAAACCTGGTTTATTTTCAGTAGGAAAAGGTAGCATATGGTAACTCTACAAGGTCCGACAATTAAGTAATGATTTAATTCCATAAAAAATTTTTAAAAATCAACAATAGAAGATACAACATGTATTTTATTCAAAGTAAGCCCCTTGTGCATTGATACAGTGAGTAGTACGATCTAACAAACACTGGAACAACCTCTGTAGTTCTTTTGTTGCTATGGCCCTTAAAGTCGATGTTACGACCCTTTGGATGCCATCAATTTCGTCAAAAAAAGGGTCCTTTCAATGGTAACTTTAATTTTGGGAATAGAAAATAATCACATGGAGACAAATCTGGGGAACAGCGTGAATGGTTGAGGACAAACACTTGTTTTGGGGCCAAAAATCCCTGTTTTGATGGTGTCTCGTGGGTACTCAACCCGTTGATTTTTTGGTCATCAGACAACGAAAGCAGTACAAACCTGCAAGCATTTTTTTTTTCTGGCCAAAATCTTGCACTAAAACTTTATGAAGGGTCTCTATTAACACAAGATTCATCTGCCATCCTCTTGACAGTAAAACAACGATCTTCTTGTATCTGTTCTGTGACATTTGCAATGAGTTTATCATTACAAACTAAAATTGGGCGACCAGGTCTAATTGCATTAGTAACTATTTCTACACCACTTTTGAATCGTGAATACTACCTGAAAATCTATGCAGTAGATAAACAATTATCCCCATAAACTTGTGGCATCATTTGAACTGTTGCAATGGCGCTTTTACTGAGTTTTAAACAGAATTTAATTATAGCTTTTTGCTCCATGCTGACTTCATAACGATGCACATCTAACTAGGTCAAAAAAAATGGCAGGCTTGTTTGTCTCTGCTTATCAGGCGGCGATGCAAAGTTGCCAGATCATAGATGAAGGTTGCCTCTTTGGATTCAATGCTTTGCTTCATAGATGGCACATTTGACTTGGCCGTAATAAAATCAGTCACATTACTTAATTGTCGGACCTTGTATGCTGTTGCTGTTGTCCATCAAATGAGATGCAGACCATTCATCGTCCAGTTAGATTAAATAATTTTGGGTACTCATTTTCTTCTTCTGCATTAAAAGGGTGACAGTGTTGTGGTTTACAGCTTTGCTGTAATATCTTAAACTTTTTGCTCCGACACATTCAAATTCAGCAAACAAACAAATTATCTGTCTTTTACAGCATGCGTGTTAGGAAACAGTGGGGGTCTATCCTCCATACCTTTCAAACGGGGCCCGAGAATGCAAACTGGAGATTTTGAGTATAAAAGAGGAGGTGGTCTGTCCCACTCTTTCTACAGCAGGAAACATTAAACTTTCATTGAAAATATCACATACTTTCCTAGCTCTCTGTATGCTAGGCTGTTATCACATGGAATAAATACCCAGTAAACAGATGATAACACATAATGCATGTCAAAAGCAAAGCAAAACAATGGATCTTACTTTCAAAGGGACACAAATTGAGCATATAGATTTAAACTCGGCTCTTCCCACTGACCATGTTTAACAAAGCAGTTATATTTTTCATGGTATGCAAGTTTCATTCATTTAGCAGTACACACTACACGGATGTTGAGCAATTAGATACACATACATTTAAAGTATGAATTGTGTGGTCATATGATACTTGTCCCAATGGCTTTGCAAAAAAAACACAGGAAATGTATCTTAACAGGTGTGCCTGAAATAAGCAAAGCAAATGTTTAGAAGCAAGCATGCATCCGTGGTCACCTGAAAAAAAACACGCTGTAGGCATTCAGATACAGACCTCCCAGTATGGTTTTCATGTCACCATTTTATGGGGGGAAGCAAAAATAAACCCACAACACCCAACATGTTGTAAAAGCTGACTAACTAGAGGCGTTTCCTTCAAGGTATGGATGCATCTGCCTGAGAGGTGAGGAACCAACAGACTGCATACAAATAAGCTAAATCTGTGAAACCAATGTACATGCAAACTGAAGATCCAGAACATGGTCAAAGTCTACAAGTGTACGAACAATTAGAAACTTCCCGCCTGACTTTATGGCTGATGAATACAAAGAAGAAAGCACAGACTCACTGCTTGGGGAGACAGCAGAAACTTCAAAAGATGGGCTTTTCCTCATATACATACACACATATATCTGAACATACACACATACATATGCATGACTGCACAAGCACACATAAGGTCAGCAACAAATTTCTGACTAAAACTGTTATCTGTTAGTGGAAGAGTGGAGCGAGTCGCCGCTGCTCTAAACCTTACCTTGTTCAGGATGGTGACATCACACTTGTTTCTCAACAGCACCTCCACCGCTGTCGAGTGAGCATAATAGGCAGCACAATGCAAGGGTGTCCAGCCGTTCTGTAAGTAAAAAACATAACCCTCCAAAAAAAATGAAAGTGTATTTACCACTTTTTAGGCTGGTAAAGGAAAGAGAAGGAAACATGGGTTCAAATCCTCTGCAAGTTTTTTTTTCTTTTTCTGTTGGGTGCAAAAATAAAGTTGTTTCCTGCACAGTGCGTGGCGACAGCACAAGCCATGAGAACCTAAATCTGCAGGTTCAAACACTTTTCTGCTTACACCGCAAGAGTGGTCAATAAAGCAGTAATGACAGTTTTTTTTTAGAAGGGAAGGGAGGGAGATCTCAAGTCTGAGGATTTAGAGTCTAATGACTTACAGTCCCCACAAACTGTGCTGATCTCCTACAATCATGTGTAGTTAACGTGACATATATAATTCTGAGCTGAGAAGGGACCTTTAATAATGCAGTGTAAACAAAGGACCTTCTATACTGATGTGAGAATAGTCTTATAATGATGTGGGAATGGCCATATAACTATGAGCAGAGAATGAGCCATATATAATAATATGTAGAGAATGGGGCTATACATTGTAGAAATTAGCCATATATAATAATATGTAGAGAATGGGTCTATAAATTGTAGAAAATAGCCATATATAATAATATGTAGAGAAAGGGGCTATAATGATATGTAGAAAATGGGTTTATAATGTGTAGAAAACAGCCATATAAAATATGTAGAGAATGGGTTTATAAATTGTAGAAAATAGCCATACAATTACATGTACAAAATGGGCCTAATATAATGTGTAGATAATGGGCTTATAGTAATGGGTAGTGAACAGTCCTATAATGACCTGTGGAGAACAGGCCTATAATGAAGCAGAGAATGTGCTTATAATGTTTAATGAATAATCAGCTTTCTGTAATTATCTTTACAAAAGAATCATTAAGGGACTATCCAACAACAAGCACTCCCAGTTACACCCATGCTGTAATTTACTGAAGTATCATCATCATCATTTGCCCTGCCAACTGGCGTCGGCGCTCATGCATCTCAACAGATCATGGTCCTTGGTTGCATGGAACAGCTCTTTTGATGATATCCCCCCATGCCATCGTTTCAGCCCATCCAGCATCATCTCTCTTGGTCTGCCTCTACCCCTTTTTCCACTGACCCTTCCAATGTCTCTCTTTTCATGTATGCCTAGATGGGAATGTATGCCTGGATGGGAATGTATGCCTGGATGGCAATGTATGCCTGGATGGCTATGTATGCCTGGATGGGAATGTATGCCTGAATGGCATTGTATGCCTAGATGGCTATGTATGGCAATGCCTGCCTGGATGTCAATGTATGCCTGGATGGCAATGTATGCCTGGATGGCAATGTATGCCTGGATGGCAATGTATGCCTGGATGGCAATGTAATGAGTGCAGATAAATTACAAGACTTTCCCAAAGCAAGAAACCGAGTCCAACTAATAACAGCTGTCATCCTGCCATGTTAATGTAATTAAGATAGACATGGATAACCCATGCCGACCGACAGCTGAGATGGACATGGATAACCCATGCCGACCGACAGCTGTTAGAGCTGGAGTAAAACAGCAGATGTGAGTTACCTTGTCCTGGGTATTGATGTCTGCTCCAGCATCAGACAACATTTGAATGATGTCGGCGTGGCCTTGCATGGCTGCATGGTGAACCGCGGAGTTCCCTCGCTAGAAAGAGAGGAAAGGCACAGGGGGTAGAGAGAACATCAGTGTGTGTGTGTGTGTGACATTCTTTCAACTCACTCAAACATAAATAGTGGATTCTCCTCCACTGCTTAAACAGCATCAAATCAAGAATAAATGCATCTTCAACATTCAGTCAACTCACTCAAACATAAATAGTGGATTCTCCTCCACTGCTTAAACAGCATCAAATCAAGAATAAATGCATCTTCAACATTCAGTCAACTCACTCAAACATAAATGGCTGAGTCTCCTCCACTGCTTAAACAACACCAGGTTCACCGGCTGTAAACTCCAACGGAAAGCTCTGGTTGTTCGTCCACCTCTAGACTAGAGTCTTGTTCCAGAACATGAGTGCTGCGTGCACATCCCTTTTACAGGTCTGGCTTATTTGTATGCAGACTTGTGGTTACTTGCCTCACAGGTAGATGTACTCCAACTTTGAAGGATGTCCCCAGTTATTCAATTCCTACGACATGCTTGTTGGGGAGGCAGTGAGTCTATTCTGTTTTCCAAAACAAGGAAGGTGCCAGGTTTCACAGACACGTTTTTGTGTTTCCTACACTAACAAACTTGAACAAACATTGACAAAACCGACTGAGACTCTACCATGAATCTGACATCACTAAATCTCTAGGACTAAGACAACAACAAAGAAGACTCACAGAATCCACAACAGTGAGGTCACAGCCAGCATCTATCAATAGCTGCACCACCTCATGTTTGCCTTGAGATGCCACATGTATCGGGCTACAGGCATGCTGAAAAATTTAGCCAACAGATTTTTGAGGTTTTGTGTCTATATTTCCTTATATCTATAATCACATTATTTGTGTACATGGCTTCTGATCAGTGTAATAATTGGGAAGTAACAATAGTAATGGGCGATTTAATTGAAAAACTGCAAGAGAAAAAGTGTGTGGAGTAACTGGTGGCTATGGTCTAGACTGTAAGAAAGAGAGAGGAGAAAGGTTAATAGCTTGGGCTGCATCATATAAAAAAATAATTGGGAACACCTGGTTTAAACACCACCCTCATCGATTGTGGACTTGAAAGTCCTGGCGATAATGTCTGTAATCAGACTGATTATATATTGATTTCAAAAAGATGCAGGGGCATTTTAACTGCAGCCTAGACCAGGAGCAGACTGCTACAGTGATCATGTTTCAGTTATAGAAAAGTTTAGAATAAAACTGAAGACTTTAAAGAAGACCCCACAAAACATCAAGTTAAATAAAGAAAGATAAAGAAATTAAGGAATAGTGCAGAGTCATTCGAAATCTCATGCTATCATCGTGGAAGACTTTTCTTGACACAGGGGGGTCTTGCTAGTCACACTCGCTATCGCCATGGGCTTTGAGTCTCATGCCTCCTCATTGATCAATATAACACTATCATCTGGAAAGATGAAAAGGTGCCAATGATGAATCATTATATCCCAGAAATTATAGTTCTTTCCTTTTATCAAGGGCTGTGTTTGTTCTCCATCCATATTTGTTCAAAGACTAAACCAATTTGTATTCCCATAAAATATTACATTTTTAGCCTTTCAAATGAATCGTCTGCCTGCATGTTCCCAATTTTCCCCGCCCCACGTCATGGGCTTACTGCGTTATAAATTCCACCTCCGTTATTGATCTTGAGGTCAAGGTGACCAACAAGTGATGTGAAACAAACAGCAGCTAGAACATGGCTTGTGTTAAGAGAGTATGAATGAAAGATCAAAGTCATGCAAGATTCATGAGCTGCCCGAAAACACCTCTATGAATGAGCACGTTCCTGGCCCAGGCAAGAGAATTGAATAAATCACATGGGAAATCTTGTGTAATAACATGGATTTTATTGACTGATTTACCTCCCCTGTCTGCCTGTGCAAACTGGCAAGCCATGGGAAATCTTTAGATAAATCTATATTAGGAGAGAGAGAAAACATGAGAGATAAAACAAAGAGGGCAGAGAAAGATAGGGACAAAACAGACGTAGAAGTTTGGGTTTTAAAAAAGTAGAAGATTGGTTGGGTTAAAAAAAAATGTAGAAGTTCTGGGTAAAGAAGTAGAAGGTTGAGGTAAAGAACAAAATATAGGACCCTTTTCACCCCCACTGGTTGCTCCACCCATATTTTTTATAGACCAATGAGCAATCAAAGGGTGTTGTGGTCAGCATTATGCTAGGCACTTTTACTTTCTCACTTATCCCCCTTGACCCCCCCCCCCCAATTAACTAATTTTCTGGTACATATTTTGGGGTACGGTAAGGTGTATGAAAGACAATATCTATATATCAGTGGTTCTCAATTAGCGGCCCAACAGACCCTCTAGGGCAATGTTTCCCAAACTTAGGGTTCACGTTCACAATTGTTTGGGTGGGGAGGGGGGGGGCCAATTTGATTGTTGGGGGGAGGGTCTGATTGTTAAGGGGGCAATTTGATTGTGGAATTGTGGGGGGGGGGGGGGGGGTGGGGGGGGGGGGGGGGGGGGGGGGGGGGGGGGGGGGGGGGGGGGGGAAATGGGGGGGGGGACAATTTGATTGTTAATGGGAACAATCTGACTGTGTGTATGTGTAAGGGGAGGGGCAATCTGATTGTGGGGGGGGGGGGATTCGAAGATGGACTCACTGAGAGTTTAAGTTTCATAGAGGGTCTTAAGAATTCTAGAAAGACTAAGGTGGGACACTGAATTTTAAAAAAGATTGGGAATCACTGCTCTAGGGTCTGCAGAACAAATTAAATGAGGGCAGTGAAACCATTTAGAAAACAAACAAAAAACAACTTCCAATTCTAATACTTCCAATAGAGAAGTGGACAGATACTGACATCTGCAAAAAAGCATGCAAAGAGTTTAAGAGCTGCAAGCAACAACTGACAAAGTGACTGACTAGTGTACAGAGATGAGTGCTATCATCAGCACCAGGGAAACTGCCACAAGCCTGCTAGATTTCCCTTTTTTCAACAGTCTATTAAAAAATATATGGGGGTCTGGGACAGATCTAAAACAGGAAGGGGTCCACAGATCTTTCCTAAACTGGGAACTATTGTTCTATAGCATCCATTATCATACACTGCTGTCTGTTACCACGACCCTAGGGACTGTCTCATCATCATCAATCGGCAGTTCCTTAAAAATACACTGCTCATATCAAGGGATGCAAGAAAGTATATGGGCTATCATGGCCAATACATCTTCAATGTCTTGTATCCACTTTAATGGAGGTCTGCCTCCATGGCTGTTGTCTTCAGACCATCATCACGTTAACACGGCCAAAATACCCCAGCTTTCTGGACAGAATGTTTATAAGCCAATTCTCCTTGATGCTCAGATCACATAGGATGTCAGAGGTTTTTTTTTTCTTCTCGGTCCACGTGGTATCTGTGGCTCATAAACAGTCTTATTTCTTAGAAATACTCTGGCCATTTTAAGTGCTATATCGATTTGAAGAGAAGAGAAATGAAGGATATAGAAGAAGAGGCAGAAATCAATCAGCAGGAGGGTGGACACAGGATAACAAGGACACCCTTGACATGAAAGCTGAAGCATGGAAGTTGCAAAAGGACCAAGTGACTATCTAGTGTTCTGTACTGGACTTGCTAGATTAGTTGTTTTCAACCCGGCACCCCCCCCCCCCCCCTCCCTCACCAAACCCGCAGAAACATCATAAGACAAAACAGTATCAACCATCACAGTGATATTTAGATATTACATTAGTTTGTTGCTGATAGTTTCTTTTACGTTATTTGACACTTTGATTTATGTGGCTATCTTTCTCTAAGCTCCTGTTAACAATGCTTGGAGTTTTCTTCTAGTACTCTTTTTAATCACTTTTTTTTTGGGAAGGGGGGGGGTGAGGGGGGAATGTTTTGTCATATATTCAAGGGAGATGCAAACTGAGTTGAAAACCACTGTGCTAGCCCACATTACATGTCATAAGAGATATCTAAGGAGGGCAGGTGTCGCAAGTGGCAATCTTATCCTATGGAAAACTGTTGCTGTGTAAATATATGTGAGTCGGCAGTAGCATAATGGCTAGATGTTCACCTGCTAGGCCAAAGGTCTTTGGTTTAAAGCAGCATAGTAATTTTTTTCGCAAGTCAAATGAGTACCTGGTAATGTCCTGGGAAGTAAAAATGGTCTGCATGATGTTGACTATATCATCCAAGCATTGCCAATTGGTCTAAAAAAGGAACTTAGCATCATATGCTGAATGCACAAGATCCCTTTATTTAACCATATATACAGGTAGAGGAATGGCTTCTATCAATTAGAATATATATTGTATAACAATTCTTCTTTTCCTGTATTCTTCTACAAAGACTTTATTTTATTCTATTTCAGCTGCTACTTCTACTCATCATCATCATCATTCTTTGTGTGCCTTTAGACATCATGTAGGGCTCACATTCGATTCCTCCACTATGCTCTGTTGCATGCAACTCTTTCAATTTCTGACATGGAGTTTAGCCCAGCATTTTTAGCCTCTCGTAATGGTGTGGTGTACTTCTTTATGTTTTTCTTGTAAGTCCTTTTTTTTCTCAGACCATTTGTTTCCCATTTTAGGGCTTGTTTTGTCATTCTTCGCTCATTTCGTCTCAGAGTTTGCCCAATGTATCTCCACCTTCTTTGCATTATTGCAGTAAATACAGGTATTTGTCCAGACATTTCTCTGATCACTTCACCCTTTTTGAATAAATTCCATTTTCTGTTCGTGTTTTTTCTCAGACATTTATTTTCAAATGCATTCAACTTTCATTCCATATCTTTGGTGGGTTTCCAACTTTTGCTTTAGAATTGAATATTCAAGGTTTGGTCTTAAAGATGTATAACTAGGAGCTCCAGACTTTGTTAAGGTTTTCTAAGACTGTTGTTAATTTGGCAATGCATATCATGATTTTCTTTGTTGTATCTCCTCCTTGTGAGTCAAAATTGCTACCCAATAAGGTGAAATGGTCTGTTACTTTTATAGGTTTGTTCTCTAGCATGGCATATACACGATCCATTGTTGGTATCTTTAAAATATTTGTTTTCTTACAACTTATTTGTAGTCCTATATTTTATACTGTACATGACAAATCATCTGTCTTTCTTTGCATGTCTTTATTATCTTTACGCTTTTTTATTTCCGTGACATTAACTCTTTGAGTCCCAAGGAACGCATCATATGTTTATAGGTTCCTACCCAGATGCCCAATGAATGCATGATGTGCCGATTTTATTAATTTCTACCCCCTGGGCCTGTGATGCTAAACCCCCTGGGACTCAAAGAGTTAATCTGCCCCTCATTTATGGGAAGTGTGGTTATTTTTTGCCCTTTTCTTAAAATTTCTAATGCTGCTGTCTAAATGTTCTCTTATTCCTTTTATCCTTCATCTGAAATAAGCCTGTATCTGCCACACAGTCCCCTGTATAAGCTGCACAGCTGCATATCACTGTTCCACTGATACAGCTACATCACCAGTGACATAAACCAAACTACACCACACACACACACTCATGCACACACAGACTTACTATTGAGGATACCCAGTTGACATCAATGCCATGCTCGATGAACTTCTGCACAAGATGAGGTCGGCCAAAACCACAAGCTTCCCAAAACATTTCCTGCTTTGAACCTGCTTGTCCCATGATGGTTGTCGATAATCAACTAAAAGCAGATACAGTACTGCATATACAAGTATGTCATCAACTTCGGCGTACAGAGGATTTTTGTTTATAAATGTATACATATGCAAGACTTTTTCCCTATAAAAGAAAAGTGTCGGTACTCAGCACAAAAACTCTGCTACAGTAGCGCTGCATAAAAGATGCATTAACAAAACAAAAGCTGCTGGTGCTGCTTACTGTTTTGTACTCCCAGAAAAAAGGGACTGTGTATATGTATTCCTCTTTCTCTTTTATTTTTTTTATAAATCTTTCTAGCTGTCATAAGTTCCAGTTTTTCTTCTCTAGTGTGGCCAAACATTATGGCTGTCTCTTTCTTACGTTCGTAATAAACTTGCATAATCATCATCCTCAACAAGTGTCCTGCTGTGGCGTGGGTGATCATGCCACACCACAACCTGTAATCTTCATCAATATGTATCAACATGACATCCCCCTCCTCCCCCCTCATGCCATGAGAAAAGGTTGTCAAGAATCTTCTTGCATTTTCTTCATCAAGAATCTTCTTGCGTTGTCTTCCTCTATGTCTTTTGAACATATTTTTAAAACAGTCACAACATGTTCTAGTTTCTTTCTTCTCATAGCATGAATATAAAAAGACGACTGTCTCTGATGTTTCTGACAGATTGCCTTTGGCCCCCTGCATCTTCCAAAACATCTGGTTTACTCTTTTTTGGCAAGGAATTGTAATGATTCTTCTGTAAATATGTTAAAACTGGCTCAAATGCAGCATTTTGTTTCTAACCTTCAATGACATGAATTTAATGCATAGAATGTCATTTTATAACTTGTAGTGGTTTGGACACCTAACAAGAATGCCCTGGTACTATCTGCCACAGCGAGCCACACTAAAACGTTACAACGGGTAATGAGCGAGTGGAAGACCTCGGGAAATGTGGAGTGATGGCATTAAGAACAGCCTTACAGAAATGAACATCAGTCTTAATAGTGCTTTTGACAGAGCTCATCAACGAACATTACATCTCCCCCCAACACTTCGATGAGGTACTAGTGGAAGAGAAGAAGAAGAAGAAGAAGTTCTTTATAAAATGCAAATTTTTCATATACAGACAACAGAAATGTGCCTTACTCAAGCATATCCTGGTCTTAAATTACAATGCCTTTTTTAAACATCAACCAGGGAAAGATACCTGGTCAAATGCAGCACTTTTGATTTTGAAATTTATGAAGGTTCTAGAACAAATAGGAGATGGTGGTGACAGCACTTGATCTCGAGGATATGTACAATCGAGTCAGATATAATAATATGATGTCCGCGCTTACAGAAGGGAGTCCATCCCAGGCTAGTTAAATGGTCAACAGCTGCCCTGTACTCTTGTATGGTTGCCTTTAATCTGGGTATATGGGTATCAGGGTCATTCAGTATAGCCCCTGGGACTAGCACAGTGATCTGCAGTTTCACCAGTACTCTATAACTCTTTAAGTCTAAAGGAACACATCATACGTTTATAGGCTACCCCCCCCCCCCAACTCCCCAGAAGCCCAATTAATGCATGATTTGCCAATTTTACGTCTCTCTTTACTACCCATTAGACCTCTGATGCTACACCCCTTGGGAGTGAAAGAGTTAATCTGTTTAGATTAGACATCTGGTCTTATGTTACAGATGTTACAAATCTTGTCTACATTATGTAACACTGTCTCATCTTACACATCCTGTTTTATGTTGCATTACACTGTCTTTCACTGCACATTTTACCAAACACCACACATACTGTCTTATGTTACCACTGACTATTACAAATCTTGCCAAATATCACACATCATATTTTACATAACACTGTCTTGCAATAAACATCTTGTCTTGTTATATAACACTACCTTACACTGCAGATTTTGCTAAATGCCACACATCTTTTTTTTTAAACATTACTACTGTCTTACATTGGGAGCCGCCATGATCTAGCGGCTAGACGCTAGCCTGAGGATCGGAAGGTCGTAGGTTCAGTTCCTGGTGGGGGCCAGACTTTTTTTTCAAAACTGATCTTGCCTCCCAGGTCAACCCAGCCTTGAGTGGTACCAGGTGCATTCCTTGAAAGTAAAGGCGGCGGGCGTGATGACGACCACATCACCCACCAAGTGCCGATTGGTCTATAAAATATTGGTCTAGCCCTATATACCTAATATGCATGAAAGACGTGGAAAAGAGTCATTTACTTTTACTTACATCTTGCCAAATGTTACATATCTAATTTATGGTGTAATCAGCCAAATGCCACACATCTTCTTTTTTTTTTAAACATTACCACTGTCTTACATTACACAGCTTTTCTTTCTTACATTTAATATCTTGCCACGTTTTATGTTACACATGTTGTCTTGTTACATAACACTGCCTTCAATTACACAACTTGTGAAATAAAAACTGGGCTCTCCTTTAAATAACGGTCCCAAATGATCTATGCAGAAAGTAAACCCAAACAGAGCCTCACTCATATCTAAAATTCGCATTTCTTTTGCAGCGATTCAACCGTGTCAAAAGTAGGATTAATTGCGCACGACATTTTCACGAAACGCAACGGATTTTTTTACGGTGATTACACGGCGGCAAAACTAGGATTAACTACGGACGAAAAAAATTAGCGACGCGCGAGAATACTGCCGATAGCGCTATTCTACGGCAGGGCCCGAGTTATATGTAAGTTGCGGACCACTTTTCGCAAACTATAGTGCCACCTCCGAGAGTATGCCCTGCGCCGCTACGTGCGGCGCGGAAGGGGCTAAACTAGATGGCTAGGACTCACGAGCAGCAGCTACCGCAGCTCCTGCAGCTTCCTCCAGTGTATTTGCTCGTGAGTCCTAGCCATCTAGTTTAGTACATTCCGCGCCGCGTGTAGCGGGCGTGGGATACTCTCGATAAAGGATTTCAATATTGGTAAGTAGTAGAATTTCCCCATTCTCCTCATACTTTTAGTTCCTTATATTTCCCGATTTACAGCTTTTAATTGTTTGTAGGGCAGGACGTAATGAGGCTCTGTTTGGGTTTACTTTCTGCGTAGATCATTTGGGACCGTTATTTAAAGGAGAGCCAAAAACTGACTTACATTACACACCCTGTCTACTGACTTATGTTACACACTTTTATGTTGCATAACATTGTCTTACTTTACATATCTTGTCTTCTGCTATACAACTGTAATTTATTTTGCACACTGCTTATGTTAAACAACCCTGTCTTACATTAGCACAAACTTTTACAGTAAAAACATATACACACATACATAACTCAGCTTTTTCTTAAGTACCAATAGCTGCCAATGACTAATCATTACTAGTATTACAGTAAATTAGATAATAATGCTTAATAACTACTACTGTGTTATTATAGAACCTTTATTAAAGAAACATTATAGAACTTTTTGTACATTGCACAAGTGTTCCTTATATTATTTACACAACCCTGTCTTACATTACAAATAAAACTACAGACTACCCTTTTTATTTCTCTCTAACAAGAGTCACTAACAAAGGTTTATAATTATAATAATACAATTGGAATCTGGTCCTACTCTTACATTTTATTACCAAGTTACTCATTTCACCTGCTTGTAATTATAGTATATATAATTTACATAATTTAAACACACAACCTTGCATATCTACAGATCAGAAACTCACCAAGGTAAAAATTTATTTTCTTATCCTTTTTGTTTACTTAGGAGTGAAAAAAATAACAACAAACCAGGTCATAAAGCTTTGGTCAGATGTGCAGAAGAGAAGATTCACAAGTAATTAATTGAAGTAATTGCGTTTTTAACCTCCTCTACCCAGGCTCTGTTAGTACTGTTACTACTACACACGACCCTCAACTTTCAATGGCTACTATTACAGGCTGTAATCCCGATTCAAGTGTATTTAAGGTGACCCACATATTACGAGAAGCATCGATGACATCATTCCATGCATTCCGTGGTAATTATTTTGACTGGTGGGTCCATCCATGGCCTAAAAATTACAATTTTACGATTCAAGCATAGATTTAAGAGCATAACTAATAATTTCTGGTGAGTGATAAATCTTATAATTTAAAGGTCCTGCCCCAAAATATTAGAGGTCTGGGTTAAGGCCGGTCATAAACGCTTGCAGGGCCCTTACAATGCAACGCAAATAGTTGAAACGAAACGCCTGGCATGATTCAGGAATTCTCAACAGCTAAGTCAATGATGCTAAAATTAGAGTACACGGGGTAGGGCGCGGATAGAAAAACAGAATTTGGCGTTGAAAGTAGTATGAGAGACGAATCACGAAGAATGAATTTAATGCATTTTATAAAGCAGATCTAAATTAAACAGCATTATTAAACACCAACAAGTAGTAAAATGAATGTGTAATTAAACTTCGTAAATCCTGAAGTAACTGCGCAACGAAGGTTTGAGTACTTAATAAGCTGAAATTACTACTGAAAATGAAAGATCAGATTTCTCAGTTTAAGTCTAGCAGTAGCCGCGATCAGTTAGGAAATTTAAAGTTAAACTTTCAGCTTACTCAAACTTACCTTTTATTCTAGTAATCCAGTAACGAATGGGCTCAGGACCGCTGTGTGAAGTTAAAACGTATATACCACAATGGAATCAACAGAGATTAGAACTCATCTTGTGTAGAGAACGGCGAGAAAGGAACACAGAGAGAGAGCGACTAGAGGCAGATTCTTGCGGCGAAAACAGACTTGCATAAATTTCTGCTGGGCAGAAGCGGAAGTTGCACTAGTAAACAATGGGATGTTGTAAAATGATACAGCTGCCGGTATCACTGGGTGGCGAAACAAACAGAATCGACTTTAAAATAAAACTTTCTGTTCCTTCTGCCTCTTATCCTCAGTGGAGCATAGTTGTCAACAAACTAGTATCAAATAGTCCTATCCTTTGCTTTCGCCCCAAGCTCATCAAGTAAAAAAGGCATAAATGTCGACAAAATATTAGTGTTTTGAGCTAAAATGCTATAGAAAGATTCTCAGAATATCTTGGACGAAAAAGAGGAGAAATACTGACATCTTGAAAGGTCTGAACATCAAGGAACATTGGCTAATAAACAGCATCCTGTCTCGGAAGCTAAAATATTTTGGTCATATCAAGCGCCACGACGCATTGGAAAAAATTATAGCAGGAGGCATGGTACCAGGAAGGAAGAGCAGGGGGTGACAAACACGAAGATAAGCACAGGATATAAGGGACTCCTTGAATATCTTCTTCTTCTTCTTCGCGTTCACCAGCTGTACACTCTGGCGGAAAGTTCTGGTTGATCGTCCACTACTGAACTGCAGTCCCGCTCCAGAACCTGAGTGTTGCGTGTGCATCAGTTTTACAGATCTCATTCTCTTGAATACAGACTGTTGGTTCCTTGCCTCTCCGGCAGATGCACTCCGACTTTGGGGAGGCAGTGGGTCTATTCTTGTTTTCCCCACAATGGGGCCCCGGAACCCACACGGGGGACTCCTTGAATATGAAAGTGCATGAGGCGGGAGAGCTTGAGAGAGACCGAGTTTCTTTCAGGCACACCGTGATGAGAGCGACGTTCTGCAAAGGACCCGCTACATGATGATGATGATGATGTTCTGGGTATACGAATGTAAATGCTACATTAAAATCTTCCTCTTTTTCTTCTTTTTTCTGCCTTCCTAGCTGTTGAGGCCCACTACTGCATATTCATATACGCAACTAGTTTATTATTTCACGTTAGTAACTACAAGCGTTTGTGAAGTCTACCTGTCTATTGTCTCCAATTTCTTCTTGGTTTGTCCCACGGTTTATTCTCATTCAACTAATTTCTCTACGCAGTTTTTTCCTCTTTGTGATGATAAAATACATGCAAATATTTTTTTTCTGTTCTTTTCCCAGCGCAGCCTAAATAGTCAAAGAAACAGTGTCAGACCCTCATATCCTTGGTCATAGCGCGATGCCTCCTTTAAACAAAAAAATCTATATAAATACTGCATAAATGAGAAATCTTTAAATTTAACAGGATTACTCAAACACTCTTTTCCACTATATTGTCTTTATCAGGTGGCACCACTGTACCGGTTTAAAAATCGCAAGCGGAGACGTTCAGTTGAAGCAATGTATTTTCATAGAATTCCTCAGTGATGAAAGTGAGAACCAAGTTCGCATCCATTAATTAACTTTTGAAGAATGTTTGGGAGCTTCAACAGTGGATGATAACACTGTTTGACGCTAGGTATATCGTTGTGACGTAGCTAAAGGAGGTCAATTTTCAGTGGCTTATGCAAATGGACTAGTCGTCGGTCTACAACAGTTACGCTGACCGTCGGGCTGAGGCCCCACCTCTATAAATTTATAAGGTGACTAAGATGCCCCTCGCACTCCCAATCATTAATATACATTCTCTTTTTAAGTACTTGTTTTAAATTTTACATATTTCACATAATAATAATATTACGCATTTAAACAAGCCATAAGCATTAAAGCCTGAAACCATGAACATTCTATAGGGACTGAACACGTATCCCCTCCCCCCCCCCCCCCACAATCCCTAAAATTTCTTGGTGGTTGTTCGCATATGCATGGTATCTAAAGCAATAAGTAGCAGCTCCAGACCACACCATCGCCTTTTCAGAATGTTGAAATTCACAGCTAGTCTCAGGACCATTTTCCCACGCCTTTAGGCGCACTGGACATAAAGAACCAAATAGATATTGTATAGACCAGTGGGCACTTGTGGGTGATGAAGTCAGCATCACGCCGGGTGCTTTACTTTTCAGAACCTTGCCTGGTACCCACTCTAGGCTGGGTGGACCTAAGAGCCACGGTTATTTTGAAAAAAGTCCGGCTCCGCCAGGACCCGAAGTCACGACTTTTCAATCCGAAGACGAGAGTCTAGCCGCTACACCAAAGCTGTTCCCAAATAGTGACAGGGTTTTTCTGACGGTACACGAAGAAACAGGGGTCATATGTCGAGACCACTAGAAAGATCTGTGGAAAGAGAGACAGAGGCAGACAAAGCAAGAAAATTCTTGATAGCCTTTTGTAAGAGCACAAAGGAGTTTCAAAACCTCTACTGACACATGCAGTTGCCAATCGCAGACTGTAGAGTCATGATTTCCCCCTTCCCACCCCTCTACCGCCTACGCCACTCAGAAAGGAACTTGATGATGGCACAACGGTACGCCAACGCCTTCTCCAGCTGAAGAAGGGGTTGGGTACGCAGTACTTGCACCCTTTAAGGCCTCATTTATTTTTCAGCGCTGCTGTAATGATACTTTGTACCGGCACCTTTTCTAGACACCTTGAAGTGAGAACTGACGCACCCCCCCCCCCCCCCCCCCGCTCCCCCTTTATAATGGAACAGAAATATTATTATACTGAAATGTGTTGTCAAAGACGGAATCGGCTAAGATTATTATCAAAAGCATTGATCCGGAGCATCAGATGTGGGATGTAAAGGCAAGCATCAACACACTAACTGGCAAAATACTTGATAACGACATTTCTCTGTGAAAACTTACCACCTACCCTCTTTAATTACCCCCTTTTAATTACCTCACCTTTCGCCAATTCTACTGATGTGGGCATCTTTCATGCCCTTCCTTCACACATCTAGCAACACACTAACACTATATGTTCACTCCATTTCCTGCATTAGACCCTGGCTCACCATGGAAACGCCCTTTTTCACTCTTTTCCACGTTAATCAGATATTCAAGACAGAGGCGCTATTCAGACACTTGTACATAAACGAATTCCCCTCCCTTTCCCCCTCCCCTATCTTTGATGTTTATTGGTAGGACACAGTTCCCCACTTAACGAGCCCCTTCAACCCCATCACGCAGGCATTCGCTACACACGCAGTCTACCTTTATGAACTAACGCTCGCTTTTCCCAAGTGGCTTCGCCATTGTTTTAATTCGCATCAGCTTTGGTTAGTTTTAACATTTGTGTAGTAAGTAAAGTAAAAAGATCATTGTCAAGTCGATGGTGCACCCGGCATATGGTGCTAGACAGGACTGCAGAAACCTGGAGTTTTTTTTTTTTTTTTTTTTGGTGGGGAGGGGTGTACTGGGGGCGGGGAAAAGGGGGAAAAAGGTGGGGGGGGGGGGTGTGGTTATCGCCTTCGACATAGTTGAGATCACTCTTATTTTTTTTTTCAGTTTTTGTTTACACATATCGTATTATCCTAGATATATCATTATTTTTTTGCCTGTCAGCGCCGTATTATTATTATCACTAGTATTATTTTTTATAATGATTTATTTAACACTAAACAAGTCAGACTCGTTGAGCTCCAGCTTTTAAATAAAAAATACGTACGGCAGTTGAGAGCTTGCCAATGTTTTTTTTTTTTTACCTCTGATACTAGATTGGTTTTTAAAGAACAACGGGCACTATTAATGTTTAGGATAGTTCCTGGTATCCAAGGTTAGGAAGGGTCACGGTCATCTCTAGCTCCTATATCCTAAAGACGATTGCGGGAATGGTCGAACTGGGAGCCAAAGTCAATTTTATTTTTAAATTCTTTCCTGTCGGATCCGAACCTGTGATTCTCGGATCCACAGGCAATCGTATAGTCACTGAGTTACTGCGGTTGCAGACTTGGGTATCCTTATCAAGTGCCTTGCCGTCTGGCATGGGCGATCATGCCTCTTCACAATCTGCTGGTTTTATTGCAATGTCATTTATTTGAATGCTGTTGTTCTCTAATGGGATTCAGGGGCCCAGTTTAGATAGGAAAATAAGAAGTCTCACTGCCCCAATAACAAGAATACTCTAGTTTTCGTCCTTCTTAGGGCGTTATTTTTTGTTATTTGAAGCCCCACTCTGGTTTTTGCCAGGGGCCGCAATATAGGCAGGTCATCATTATGGCCAAATGTCTGAACGCGGTTTCTGGGACCTCTCCACGGTGATCCTCATCCGCATAGTGTGTCATCGGGTGTTTATCGCTTGTGTGATGTCCTGGTGGGGTAAAGAATCCAATCCAATCCAATAACAAGAATATGGCGTGAAAGCAAACTATGTATAGTTATGGGGTTGCTGAAATTTAGTGAAATCGGAAGTGTTTGACCGAAAGGCGCTGCTACAGCAACCTTGCTGTAAAAAAGCAGAAGAAGAAGATGAGGAGGAGGAGGAGGGGAAAAAGAAGAGGAATAGGAAGGCGAAGAAGAAGTAGAAGAGACACACTGTCCGTGTCGATAGACACACCCACCTTCCAGACGCACACACACAGAGACAGGGGCCAGCACTCGTGAAAGGTCTCAAGTCGGAAAGAGGACAATCAAGCAGAAAATGGACAGCAAATTTTCTTTACGTTCTGCACTTTCAGAAAACTTTTAATTCTAGATAAATAATTGTGTATATATTATAATTCTCGAAGATCATGTCTGGCAAGAAAAAGGCGTAAGTTCTTTTCTTGAACACTTTTACGTTTACTTTTTTTTTAATATTAGGGATTTTAGTCAAAATTTTTATTTTAGGTTTTTTACTTTTAAACCAAGACAGCTGAATAGAGGTTGAAAAACTGAGTCCAACGGTACCTCAATGAAGTCTGTATGTCAATTCTAAGCGGAGATATTGCCATTTCAGTGACGGAAAGTGCCCTCAAAAAATTATAATGGAAAACACAGAAACAAGATGGCGGCGTGTTCCCAAGTGAAAACTGGACCTAAATTTATCATGTTTAATGTCAATAACTCTCAAGTTTTTTGCTGAACCCCTTAGCAACCATATGTCATTGCTTTCAGGACAGCAAGCTCTAACTAAAGTTGTTGCCTTTTTAAAAATATGATGTGATGCAAACCTAAATAACATAAAAATGAGTAAATTTATCAGTATTCATTAAATACCTTATGAATTAATTATTATTAATTATCCAGTGAGTCTTGCAAGACTTATACTGTAATATATATATATATACTTTTATATCTATTCTTCCTGTTATGATGCATCTTTTTCTATTTGTTGAAAAATGGTTTTTCTCGCACTCTCATTTGTGTGTGTGTGTATGTTTGTGTGTGTGCATACATCTGACCGAAATTTGCTTTATTCCACTGTTTAAAAAATATTTAATAGCGAGTGGATTGACTTCATTGCATCGTTACTGATTTTATATGGCTTTGTCTTTCTCCACAATACTGAACAAATAACGCATGCCGAGAGCTTAGCACAAAGCCTGGATACCGTAGCTCCAGCAACAGCCCTCAGAGGTCTCCGCTAACCAAAAAAATGCATTTTCGAGTCGAACAATGCAGTTGTAAATGAACGTACAACAATCTTCCGAGCGCGAGGTTAACGGCTTGACCACTTTGATACGGAGACCCCTATATTCCTATATTGTTTTATAACCAAGTGAAAATGAGCGCCCCTCTTACTGATTTAAACATAATCCCTTTTTCAATCTTTGCGAGTTATTCTTTCATTTTATTGATGATGAGACAATTCACCACATTGTTCCCCTCTTCTTCTTAACTAGTCACTGCTTGATATTTTATTTACTTGTTCAAAATAATCAAAGGTAACCGCTCATGCCCGATTTGTGACTCAGTGCTATGTTTTTTCATGGAGTAAAATTATTAAATAAGCTCCTTTGTAATTCGCTTTGGATTTATGTTGTGTTTTCATGGAGATGTAATTCGCTTTGGATTTATGTTGTGTTTTCATGGAGCAGCATTTCATAAGGTAAGAGGAAAAATTACATTATATTTTATTAACTTATCTATGTCCTACGTGATCTGTGATTAAATATTATTAATCATAAGTTGTAAGTAAGTGAATTTATTCACTTGAAAATAATATAATATATTATTATTAATTTTATTAATCAACTTTCTAAATCATCATCTATAAGTCAATACTTCAATTTTAAAACAGTATCAATCATAAATAATAACTGTTATTTATACTATTTAAGACAATAAATATGCACCACAAAATCATAGTGCAGAAATGTGTGGCAGACATTTTTTTTAAAATGTCAGTCTGGGTGCGGGGAGTGGGGGTCAAACAGGTAAAAAGGCTTCAAACAGGAACTATGATTCATGCCAAATGATAGGTTATGGCTTAAAAAATGCTATAATGGCTAAAGATTCAAAAAATGATTAAATAACTACTTTATATTCATTTAAAAGTATAATAAAAAATATTGAAACCACTGTCTGCGTCCAAAATGTCAGTCTGGGTGCGGGGAGTGGGGGTCAACAGGCAAAAGGGCTTCAAACAGGAACTATGATTCATGCCAAATGATAGGTTATGGCTTAAAAAATGCTATAATGGCTAAAGATTCCAAAAATGATTTAATAACTACTTTAATTTGATTTAAAACTATTAATATAAAATGTTTAAACCACTGCCTGTGTCCATTTTCAACGCAAAAATACCCTAGAAATAGTCCATGTTAAAAACGTGCTAAAACATCATTTTCAGGTATTTAAATTTATTAAAACTCATGTGAAATTGAAGTTAAAGAAAGGTAAATTATTAATACAAATAAAACTTGCATTATTTTTGAACTGTTTTTATAAATAACTAGATTAATTAATCTGAGATAAACAGTTCGTTTAGGCCACGCGGTAGCCATTTTGAGAAATCTCCGATTTAGCTCTAAGAAGTGACTGGGAAGAAATTGAAACTGTATATCTTATGAAGTACAGATTCCAGCAAAACTGCCCATCCTTACGTAAAAATGGACACAGAATCTAAAAATGTCATTTAATAGTATTTAAGTTCACTTTAAAAAGGAGATATTAAAGAAATTTACTTGGCATATGACAAATAGTGAAATTTATTACGCTCAATAAAGACCGCTATTCAATTTAGGCGTCGTTTGATAGAGTACCCTCTTTTGAATGACGAAGAGCGCATGTCATCAATTCTGAACTGCTAGAATCGCAATCAAAAAAATTAATTTATAATTCGTTATGAAACAAAACATTTTCACGAGTCCGCCGATCCCTCTGCGCACCAAACTGCGCAACTTTCGTTTTGACTTTGTTTACATTGGAGATCGTTATCTCTATTAATATTCCACCACAGATGTTCGACACTGAGTACTTACAAGTGACACTTCTTGATTATTTTTTACTATTATTAATTTACTAATTATTTTCCGTTCTAATATGGGATGCAATTTGTTGTTGCAAGAGAAGTGCTACTGTATATTAGAATCAATGCGCTGGGTATCACCGGGACCAGATTCACCAGTCACGTCCTGGTGACTGCCAGGCCGCAAAAGTAAACTAAAATTGCTTGCTCTAACTGTGGGCCAATGATCACTGGCCAAATACATGACCATTAGGCAAATAGAGAACCAAAAAAGAAACTTGTGGCACCAGAACCATTCACTTCAGATGACTTTCCACCTGAGCCAGACAAACAATCATCCATTTTTTTAATCATTAAACAAAAACATCACAAAACAGATTACATCAAAGGACAGGGAAAATTCAAAACCAAATTAAATGCATCAAGCACTCCAGCAGAGTCACCTCCAAGCAACACTGAAGAGGGCTTTCTGGTTGTCAGCAACCCCAAGAAAAGAAAGGCAGAGGCAAAATGCATGTGACAGGCACAATAAAACATCAAGGAACTAATGTCAGAAAACAAAAATCGTACACAAGAAACTGGGAAAGCTAGATACAGCCAGTGATGTGGCTGAGGCAAACAGCTAGCAAGGACAGACATACTCTCTGTCAAAGGAAAACTTCTAAAAATAAATGCAGAAAACACTGAGAGCTCTCAAAGCGAAGATAACATTACTGCAAACTCTGCAGATACTGTCACCATTACTACAAACACAGGGGACAGCACTGAAGACCTGTAATAGGGGATATTTTGACCCTGATTGGGAAGGTTGGGACAGGAGAGTGATCGAGAGAACAACAATGGGAGACTGATTGTTGAGAGAGGAAGACCAGACAACATCCATCGAAGCCAAGTCCAGCCAGGCCAGTCTGTGTGAAGTCGGTGATAACAACCAGATCCATCTGTGCGAACTCTGGTCAATGATTGTGTGAGAAACCAGCATGTTGGAGTCTGATAGCTGTGGTGCGTGTAAGCTGTAAATTAGGACACGGACAGGACTTTTATGTAAGTGATGAGATTTCAATAAACTGTTTCCTACTTCAAAGTCGGTGTCGGCTTGTCCGAGTTATGTCATCTTAGGAATGTGTGCTAAGAGCATTCACTAGACACATCATCTCCTAGACAACGACACATTGCAAGACCCAAAGGAGCCACTTCAAGATGTCATATCTAGACACTTTTGCACATTATCTCTGTTAAATTATTAGTTTCTCATTGGGATTATTTAGTTACTCTATGTACTTATAAATTTTAATTTTTAACAGTAATGGATGAGTTAATAGTTACTAGTATAAATATTTGTGGATTACATACCAAGCTACAACACATCACCACACCTATAGACAAATATAAAGCAGACTTTATATTACTGCCAAAAGTAAACATCCAATCTAAGTGTCATGCAAAACAGCTGACAGCACAGCTGGGACTGAAACATTCATATTTTAGTTTAGCAATTCACAACAACACAGGGTCAAGAATGGCTATATTACAGACGTCAAACAGGTGGGACATTATTACAACTCACATCGATGACCAAGGTAGAATTTTCATAACACAGATAAAAAATAATACACATAGTACACAGTTGTCAAAATACAGGCACTACCAAACTATAACTACCAACCTACATTTTGTGAGCGTTTAGATAACTTGCTCACACACATATACAAGGGGCAGAATGTTGTTCTCGTTGGGCATTTTTTTTTGCTTACACACATATACAAGGGGTAGAATGTTGTTTTTGCTGAACATTATAATGTACTCACACACATGTGTACCATACAAGGGGTAGAATATTGTTCATGCTGGGCATTTTCAATTATGTATTGGCAGATGAAGGTACCGTAGGTGGAGAGGTTACGACAAAGCTAAAGAGAATCAGTACAGATGACATCACCAACTTTATACTTTACGTAATATCAGACATGCATAACCTTGTTGATGCATACATGCATAACAACCCAGACAGTACAGATACAACACAGAAAAATAGGGCACTCAAAAGAGCAGCCACACTCGATAGAACATTTTCAGTGTGGGTTCCGGGGTCCTATTGTGGGGAAAATAAGAATAGATGCACTGCCTCCCCAACAAGCATGTCTTAGGAGTCGACTAATTGGGGGCTTTTTTCGAAGCCAGAGTACATCTGCCTGAGTGGCAAGGAACACTAACTGCACACAGATGTCAGTAAAACAGATGTACACACAAAACTCAGGCCCTGGTTCAAGGCCGAAGTCCAAATGGACGAACAACCAGGACTTTCCATCAGAGCTTTCAGGCGGTGAACAAAGAAGAAGAAGAAGATAGAACATGTGTACCCTCAATCCACTTAGTCTTAATGCTAGCAGATCTGGCTAGTCTCACTGTAAAAATAAACTTCAGCCCGGCTCTCTAGCGTAGTTGGCTAAACCGGATTGCGCGGAGACCGGGTGACGAACTCCTTGTGGTCCGGGTTCAATCCCGGGGGTAGGCAGGAAAGCCACATTTATCCCAGATTTACGGTATTTACAATGGAATCAAGGCCGAAAGGTTGCGATATCCATAATACCGAGCCTAAGGGTTAACAACTCATGGCTTCTGGATACTAAAACAAACAACAAACAAATAAACTTCAGTAAAAGCCTATGCTGCTGTGCAGTTTTCATAGGCTGATACAATTTGGGATTTCATCTCACTTGGCTCAGTTTATCTCTACAGAAAGCACAAACCACATAGTGACACCCTTCAGAGATTTCTGTAACAATTACACGTATGAATAAAATGACAGTCCCACCAAAAATAAAACTAAATGAATTTAGAGCATGAGACGTATTGCTTGATCACAGAGAAACCTCCCAGTCTAAAAACTGATTACTTGTCATTCCTCTAAACTTACTGGCCTAAATTTTTAATTAATTAGTCACAGTTTAAACTTTACAGCATTTGGACCAGCCCATAATTGGTCCATTCCTTGCCAGCAGAAACCAAATACTGCTGTCCCATTTGAAAATAGTGAAATATCTATCCTGATAGATACCTATACTGCACATGCAGTAAATGTATCCAGCAGCTTTCAGAAGTGCCAGTGGTCTGCCACTAGAGCTGCAGTTGGTCCTTGATTGAAGCAGGAGTCAGAACAAAATAGCAATTGCATACAATCTATTGCATAAGGCATACTGCATTTCTAACATAAACTGACCACCCATCATTTCTGAATATGTAGTTCAATTAAAAAAGTATGATGTTTGATTCATACAGTAAGAAACAAAACATTTCAAACTTGTTTCCAGGGATCTGAAAGTTATTATCCTGGGTGACTACGCTGTAGGGAAAACATCCTTGATATGTCGATACATCAATGGGAGATTTCAAACTCAGGAACCAGTAAGTCTCGAAATCTGTTTATGTACCTTTAATTCCAGTAATATTTCGCTAGTTTGTATACTATATCCTCTTTCTTTTCCTTTGTTACTACTCTGCCGCCACTCCTTCCCTACTTCTTTTTTCTTCTGTTTCTTTTCTCCTCCTCCTCCTCCTAATCCTTCTCATCCCCCTTCTTTTTCCATCTTACATCCCCTAAACTGCAACCAGCTCACGCCAATCCTGTTGAAGAAAAAAGAGATAAGGGATAATTATAAAGTGTACAACGAAAGCCATAGTTATGCCAACTTAACCTGTACAAAGCTTGGAGTAAGTTGGTTTAGAGCCTATGCTCCAGTGGTAGATAACATGCGCAAGAAGAGATTGATTACAAATGCAAAGTCACCGTTTGATTATTATCTTAGAGAAATCTGGCATATTCTCTTCAATGCTGAACTAAGAATCATTATCACATCAGCAGAGACATTCTCATAAGCGCTCCATCCTCATTTTCAGCAACAGGCACAGAGTTCCAATTCTAATGGCACCAGTAACATACTGATTGTATATATCTATCTTGCCTTCTCTTGAGTACTGAGCATAGGCCAGATCCCCTGGTCATTCCTCACAGCACCATTCTCCTCAGACCGTGGTGTTCGGGTAGTGCCTCTCCACTGTTCACTGCCTCCCAAACAACCAGTACAACATCTAGCTTGTCATGCATCATTTCACCACCAAGTTTTGTGGAACCAGCCAGCCTGTCTCTGTTAGTTTCTCAACATACCAGCACAACATGGAGAAAATATCCAAAAGACATTAATGACACCGAACCTCTGAACTGATACTTGCCTCTATACTGAGTATACCTGTCTCCACCTTTCTCAACATGCTCTGTGAGTCATAAGATGTGGTTACACTGGTTCTCAAGCTAGCAGAGGGCTGCTGGCATATTTTGTGAAATGAAAGAACCGAAATTGTTGACCAGAATTAATTATATTTCATCCAGCAGCATCAGCCATGACACTATTTAAACCTTTTACTTGTTTTATGTCTCAGTGAGACAAAGTACCTAAAAATAACACTTAAGTTGCAATACGGTAAGACTGTTTATTTTATTTTTTTTTTTTTAAACAGACTGTTGGAGCTGCCTTTTTCTTGAAGCAGTGGGGTCCATACAATGTGGCTGTGTGGGTAAGTTTTGTGTTTTATAGCTACTGAAGAGAAGAGCTTGGGATGTGTGTGCAGTTCTCAGAAGGCTTAAAAAAAACCTTGCCATATCACCCCAGGATACAAGCACACATATTTAACAAGCCTGTAAAGTACCTCTACTCTCTAGGATTGAAAACGAAAATATTTAAAAGTCTGTAAGTATCTCTGTGGATCCAAAGGTCAATTGTTAAAATCTGCATAGAGCCAGAATTTGTTTGACTTTGACTGCCAGGGCGACCGAGCCTTAAATGGGTAGTAGGTAAGTCTAGGCAGCCAACATGATGCTGACCACATCACCCACCGAGTGCCGATTGGTCTATAGAATTTAGGCCTAGACTATATGCCCAACACCCCTGGCGGTGTGGAAAAGAGTCTTTTAATTTACTATCAGTACCTCTGTCCTCCAAGGTTAAAGATGATCAAACTTAACAAGTCTGTAAGGTGCTTCTACCCACCAGGTTTGAAGATGAAAATACTTGACAAGTCCCCAGGGTAGAAGAGGAAAGTATTTAAGAAGTCTATAAAGTATCTTTACCCTCCATGGTAAAAATCGAATTTACAATACTATAAGATGCCTCTAACCTCTATGATAGAACAAAGAAATACTTAACAGTACTGTAAAGTACCTCTGTGCCCTAGAGTAGACAGTGGAAACATTTAGCAAATCTTTAAGGTACCTCTCCTCTCCAGGATTGAAGAGAGAGAGTTGATAAACGTGTATGATACCTCTACCCCAGGTTAGAAGAGAAAAGACTAATTTTGTGCTCTGTGTACTTCCAGTTCAGTTACATTCTACTTACACTTTCAAACTATTTGATTTATTTAAGAATATGCAATTGAGAGGTCTGAGAAGGGCAACAGGAGTGACCAGAAGAGATAAAAATCAGACATGAGATCACAAGAGAAAAAGTCAGCACTTAGTCTGAATTACCTGTGAGACAGCAAGTGAAATCGGTTTCCCACTGATGGAGAATGCCTTTTGATGCCATAGCACAAGGCATACACCAAAAGAGGAAAGGGCTGTAGAGCACAAAGATGTATAGCCAGTCGCAGGCATAGACGCACAAGACCACTGGGTAATACATTGATTATGTCTTTAGCATCATGCTGGCCCCCTTTATGTCCCAGGACCGGTACCCAGTTTAGGCTGGGGCGGCCTTGGAGCCGAGGATAATTTTTAAAATAAATTACATCTTAATGCGGATTTGAACGATAGACCTTTGGTTCATTGGGTGAGCATTTAGCTGCACCCCTCTCCCATGGGTCCCATCGTGAACCAAGAAAAAGAAAAGTACTGAGATTCTTTAGGATCTAAACATAAAGGTGGACTGGCTGTTAGTAATGTTCTTTGGAAACTGAAGTACTTTGAGCTGAAGAATTGGCTGGAGAAAGAGTGACTTCGAAGCATGCCATGACAAGAGTGACATTCAGTAAAGTACTTGCGGATTGATCATGATGATGAAGTATTTTGGCCAATTAAGCGTTATGATGGTTTGCAGAGAACAGTAATGCAGGAATGTGGTTCATGAAAGAAGGTTCTTCTCAATACTGGAGGGAAAGTCAAAGGCAAGAGAGCAAGAGGTAGACAGAGATGCAAGTGGGAAGACAACATAAGGAGGTGGACATAAGAGTTTGTTGGAGATCCATCACAGCAAACCTTTACTGTGAACATGGCACCTCATCTTCATAATCATTAGTATTTGAGAAAAAAAAATTGTCATGTTCAACCAGCAAAGGGAGTGCTTTAGGTTATAATTGTGACTAGGTAATGTGTGCCATATGAAATGGTTTAGCATTGCATGCCACCAAGAGCCTAGAAAAGGACTCCTGCAGTGTTGATGTGATCAACGGAGACAGATCCAAATACTATCCTGACCGGCAACGAAGTCGTCTACCAGCCAGCCAAAAGGCGACCTGGTTGCCGTTGATATGACATGGCACCAATTTGCCTGAAGAAGATTCAGCAATAGACCGACATGACAGAGGACACAGGATACCAAAGACACCTGTAGTATGTATGATAGGTAATGAGTTGAGAATGTTTAGCATGAGGCAGAATGGCTTTTCCATACGCTTTTGATAAGAGCAGCATTATACAAAAGACCTGCTATCAGGATAATGGTGATGATGTACCATATTTTTATGTATATAATTATTTTTGTAACTTTAAAATTAGGGGTCGTATTATCCACAAGATGTGCTTGAAATGTTTATTTCCTAATTTTGGGCTAAAGAAATATTTAGGGACGTCATATGAACGAACAAATTTATGAGGAAGATATAAAAAAAACAGGCTAAGGAACTCAGTGAACATCTGAACCTGAGAAAAGCCCCTCAAAAAACAAAACAAAATAATAATATTAAAATTCAGAGGATCAACTCTATTGCATTGGATTTTATCCCATGTGGTTCCAGCAGTGATCCTCAAGGGATCTCCATAAAACTGCACTCATGAATTGAACGTCACGTCTGTTAAACGAGCCCACGTCCTTCAGAGTGCAAGACAGACACCTAAACCACTTCACCACCGAGGCCCTTGTTTACCCACATTGAGTGATTATTTCTAACTGAATACTTCCAGGACACAGCAGGGGATGAGAGGTACTCAGGACTTTCACATTTCTACTGCCGCAGTGCTGGTGCTGCCATCTTGGCATTTGATTTGACATCCCCAAAAACGTTTGAATCATTGTGGTGAGTGTCTTTTAAATTTGTTTAGTTAAAATGTGTGTGCGTGCATGCGTGCGTGCGTGCAAAAAAAAAAACTCAAATTGTATATCAGGTAAATTTTTCTCTCACATTCTGTGTTAAACTCTTACTAGCACATTCTGTTCCATATAAACACTTTTATCACATCCTTTACCAAATGAACTCTTTTTGTCACATTCCATACCACATAAACTCTTTCTGGCACATTCCCTACCACATAAACTCTTTAGGACACATTCTATACAATAAAAACTCTTTCTGGCAAATTCTTTACCGCATAAGTTCTTTCTGGTACATGCCATACCACATAAACTCTTTCTGTCACATTGCACATAAACCCTTTTTGTCATATTCTATACCACATAAGCTCTTTCTGGCACATTCCATACCATATAAACTCTTTCTGGCACATTCTATATATACCACATAAACTATTGCTGACACACTCCATACCACATAAACTCTTTCTGTCACATTCCATGCCACATAAACTATTCCTGGCACATTCCATACCACATAAACTCTTTTTCTGGCACAATCTGTACTACATAAGCTCTTTCTGTAACATCCAAAACACATAAACCCTTTCTGTCACATACTGCACCAGGTAAACCCTTTCTGTCACATTCCATACCACATAAACTCTTTCTGGCACATTCCATACCACATAAACTCTTTCTGTAACATCCAAAACACATAAACCCTTTCTGTCACATTCTATACCACATAAGCTCTTTCTGGCACATTCCATACCATATAAACTCTTTTATGGCACATTCCATTCCACATAAACTCTTTTATGGCACATTCCATACTGCATAAACTCTTTGATGTCCTTGTTTTTTAGTCCACTTGTTTCCGATTTCAGTGTCTCTATTGTGATTCTCTCAGCTAGTACCAAAATCTTACCATCTTAACTTTCTTTTTTAATTTCGTAGGGCAAGATTTGGATCCATTCTTGAGGCTGCCAATGAAGATTGCCTTAAAGTTGTGGTGGGAACCAAACTTGACCTTGTGAGTTCTGAAAGCAGAGACATCACACCTGAGGAAGGTAAAAAACTGGCTAAGGAACTCAATGAACATCTGGACCTGAGAAAAGCCCCTCAAGTGCCTTACTTCGAAACCTCGAGCCTGAATGATGAAAACGTCAAGGATGTGTTTGAGTACATCTTCCAGCATTGCCTACCCCTGAGTCCCGATCAGAAGAAGCAGTACCAGCAGCTCAGTCTCGTAGACCTCAAAGATTCGAACTCATCTGGTTCACAGAAGGCTTGCTGTTGATTTTAAGCTTGGTGTAAAAAAAAATAAGTAACTGATGTGGAAGTATGTTAATTTGTAACTCCACTCTGAAATCTAGCTAAATGAATGACCAACCTCAAGTAATTTTTTTTTTTTTATCATATTGTGTGTTATCTTTTCCTTCCACAGATATGTATTCCATAGAGTAATTTTCTGTTCTTTTCTATCTTTGTGAATTATTATAGCTTAATATGTCAGATTTGTATTTCAAGTTGTTGATGTCATCTTTTCTTTGCTACTGCTGTTTAAAACAATACATGTTGTTGTGATATCTACATGCAATATAGTTTTAAAATGTTTGTGGTGTGTTCAGTATCCGATTGAATTATTTGTTCTCTCTTGGAAAAGTAGTTTTTAAGATGGATTCACTGCTGATGTAATCTCATTTTTCCTCGAATCAGAGTTTGTTTGCTGTGATCTTAGCATCATCAGGATTGAAAGAGATCATAACGGAATAGTCTTTCTCTTTGTATGGTTTTTCCAGGCCCCATGGGGGAGGGGTGGGAATGAATAAACTCACTGCTTCTTAACATGCATACTGTAAAAGGAGACTAATTAGGGGCCGCTGCAATCGGCTCCTTAACTCCCAGGTCGACCCAGCCTTGAGTTGGTACCGGGTGCAGTCCCGGGAAGTAAAGGCAGCTAGCGTGATGCTGACCACGTCACCCATCTTGTGCCGATTGGTCAAAAAAAATATAGGTCTAGCCCTATACGCCTAAAGACGTGAAGAAGGGACCTTCACTTTTTTTAAAAACTGCAATTGGCTATGTTGGACCAGAAGGCGCACATATCGTAGCCTAGCTGTGAACCACAACATAACCTGTGAGCCGCCTTTTGAAGGCAAACGCAGTACTATTTCTGATTCTTTGTTTTTGAGGCCACAAACATTCCATGTTCCGATTTTAGTCGCTTTGCTAGTTTGTTTATAATTAGTGTGAGATGGCTGACCTGTCCTCGAGCCCTGTTTATTGTTACGTTTGATGGATTTCCTAATGTCAGATACAGTTGCTAGAGCTGGGGGTTTTTGGGGGGGGGGGGGGAGGGTTTGAACTTTTAAATATACTGCTGATTTGGTGGACATGCCTTAAAAGAGCACTAAATTACAGAGAACTGAAAAATGTAAAAAAAAAACCCCCCCCCCCCCTCTTTTTTTTCCCTAACAAGCATGTTGTAAAAGTCAACAGATTAGGGATGTTTCTTTTGAGGTCGGAGTGCATCTGCTTGAGAGTTGAGGAACCAACTCTAGCAGTCTGCATACATATAGATGATGTGCACACATAACTCAAGTTCTGGAGCAAGACTAAAGTCTAGAAGTGGATGAATACCAGAACCTGCTGCTGGACTTTACAGCCACTAAACAGTCAGAAGAAGAAAAATATATTTAATATTTGAATATTGTGTTTATTTTTAAGTCATGTTTCTGACTGCAAGAAGTACGGCTCAGTCAGCAGCTTATAGAGTTTAATAGTTTTTTTTTTTTTTTTAATAGAATCCATGGGGATTATTGCTTGAGCTACATAGTTCAGACTGAAAACTGATGATAAATTGGTATCAGAATTTGTTTCCACTGTCTCCTCCCCACCCCAGCCAGTTGTGTTTAAAAAAAAACTATTAATGTTCTTACAGTCTACGTTATTGTCAGAGCTGATCGTCATGTTTGAGAGCTGATCAGTAGTTTGGATTATAACGGGTTAATAAGTGCCAGTCATGGACACAACTAGCCAGTTAATAGGTTCAGAGGAGCCTAAAGAATTGTGCCCATCAGCACAATCACACATGATAATTTGATAAGAAAATGTGAAGAGAAGAGAGCTGATAGCCCACATCAGAAAGAGACAATCAACATTCTTTGGTCATGTGATGAGAAGGATAAAACTGGAGTACATCAGGACAGTAGAAAAGTTGGAGGGGAGGAGAGGCAGAGGGAGAATGAGAGAAGAGACACTGGACAGTCTGACATCATGACATGGAGGGTCATCCGTGTCAGAGTTGACGAGACAGAGGGTTGTAGATAGATGCAACTACCAGTGCCCCACAGCATGGACTTTAAGAAGAATAAATATGAAGAACACACATCAAACATGTTAACCATTTCACATACCTGGGGTCCTCAGGCATCAATGGTCCTGACATCCGACAACTTTTACTATTCTCAACGTGAGCTAGTCTTGCTAGTCACACTCACCATCATCCTGGTTTGTCTTCTTCTTCTTCTTCTTCTTCTCCTCCAATCCTACTGTCAAAAAACTTATATCAGGTGCTGAAAGTCTTTATGAAAGCTATCATGCAGTCCTTAACTTCTCGTGTACCATACAGCTTTGTCTTCATTGGGGTTGGAACAGGCCAGATTGCATCTCTGTTGTCAACTCACAGTTGACAGTGTTGGAGCACATGCTCAACATTTCGGGTGCCACGCTGCAGGGACACGTTTCCATGTTTCCTACACTGAAAAGTTTGAACGTTTGTTGACAAAGTCTGTTGTGCCCAGTCCTTAGTCTGAATAAAATACATTGTCCCTCTCTAGAGAGGTGATAAAGAGAATCTTGAGAAGAGAATTTGGTGTGTGTATCCAGCCACCTTTCTTGGATACTAGATTGTATTAATGTCTTAGTCTCTCACTGAGTTAAGCTATATTTGGGTGTACCATGTCACTGCCGTGGGTTGTGATTCCCAGACCTGCCTATAGCAGACAGGAAAGATGTAAAGATGCCAGTTATTTGCCATTTTCATTGGTGCACATGAAGAACAGCCAATCACATATGACTTACTGATTAGTGCACACACAGAACAGCCAATCATTTGTGACTTACCAGCTGGTGAATATGAAGAGTAGCCATTCAGGTATGACATGTTACTTGGTACAAATAAAGAGTAGCCAGCCACGTATGACATGTTACTTTAAGTTGTTAGGACAGAATAAATTACAGAAAATTGTGTCAGGATTCAGTTATATACAGTTTTGAGATTAAGTGATCTCCATAACAGCAGTTATCTTTCAGTACCTTTCAATTTAATATTTGAATATTGTGTGTTGATTGTTAAGTCATGTTTCTGACTGCAAGTAGTACAGCTCAGTCAGCAGTTTATAGAGTTTAATAGTTTTTTTTTTTTAATGGAATCCATGGGGATTATTGCTTGAACTCATGCTGAATACTTTGTCCAATTTTTAAAAACATCAGCTTGCTTCTCCTTTGAAAGAGACCGAGTCATGTAGGAGACCTGTTGCAGTGAAGTTGATGCTTCAGCTTTAGGCCTATAAACCATCGTTTATCACAGGCAGATGCTGTTCAGATCTTTCCCTAATTGATTTATAAATTCTCGGTGGCGCTTTTCACTCTCCTGTATTTTCTTGAGAACATGGCTGTGTTGAATAATTTATACAAATTAATTTTCTTGTACCGATGAAGTGGTTTTATTAATTGTTGTTACATCATTTTTATGGTATATCTTATGTTGACTGTTATCATGTGCCTTTAAGCTTTCTTTAGTAGCTTGTCTTCTTTTGTTTCATGTGATGCCTTTAACAGCAAATAAATATATATTGTGAACAAAATGACCACACATGTTCAAAAATCTGGCCAGATTTTAAAAGATGGCTTAGATGAATGAGAATTTTGTATTTCTTTTAAAGCTGCTCTATTTATATATTACATATGATAAAAGATTAAATCCCAGTCTTATAACTTGTTTTTTTTTTTTTTTTTTTGGAACCAGAAGCACTTGAGCATAAGTATTTGGCTCAGTGTCATGAGCTTTGAAGCCCTTCAGCTTCTGTGCCACATACACAGTTAATTTAGGGAGTAAGCAGTTTTTCTGCCATTCCTTTGCTCGAACCCGAGACCACCACGCAGGCTACATTTTAACATGTGAAAACCTGCCAACCAGATGAGATCTGTCTTTTCCCTTCTTTATGTTTATCCTTGTAAATTCATTAGAATTGAATTTCAATTGGGGGTGAATTGATGTATGACAGGTTAGATGTTGTGAGGGCCCTTTGGGAGCTAGTGAACTGACTGACTGACTTTCTACCCCACCAGGACATCACACAAGCGATAAACACCCGATGACACAAAGTGCCACCATGTGGATGAGGATCGCCATGGAGAGGTCCCAGAAACCGCGTTCAGACATTTGGCCATATGTATGGCCTGCCTATATTGCGGCCCCTGGCAGAAGCCAGAGTAGGGCTTCAAATGATGAAAAATTTCGTCCTGAAAAGGACGAAATTGAAAATTATAAGCTAGTAAACAGTGCGAAGGCGCAGATAAATCATTACGGTGTAAGGAGAATGGTGCTGCGAGGAGTTACCAGGGGATCTGGCTGATGCTCAACACTAAGGGGAAGGATGAGACGGATATACAATCAGACGGTTACTGGTACCATTGGAATTGTAACTCTTTGCTTGCTGCTGAAGATAGGGACTGATCACTTTTGGGAGTGTTCTGAGTGCTGTGATGTCGATTCTTAATTCAACATTTTTTAAAAATTCATTAGAACACTTTATTTTATGTTTATTCAACGGATCAACATCATGGCACATGGGCAGTAACCCAAAAGGGCTCCATTCTACTTGTAACTCAAGCCTGAGTCTGAAGAATTTCAGCGCAGTGCCTGGACTCTGTTGCACCGATGAGGAAAATGAAATACTTTGTGTAAATTTTTAACTCCACATTTTGCCAAGGCAGCACTGTTAAGCTATTCTTTTTTAATTTCCAACTGCCAAGGTATTTTTTTACTTGCGCAACACACGGGTGTCCAAACTTACTACCCAGAGGCCAGGGGGAAACTTTGTTGCATGGAGGTGGAAAATCAGGAATAGAATAGGGATAAAGAAAAAAATCAAATTATTCCTCTTAGGCTAAAACTTGAGCGTCTGAAAAGAAGCAGTTATGGTTCTGAAATCCCATGCTCCAATTGAGGAAGACTTTTTTTGTGTGTCTTTGATTTCCACACTTCTCTGTAGAACAGTAGTTGTCAACCTT